TATTTGATTTCACCTGTCAGTAGATCATTGATATGATTTGTTGATCTCATAGGATTCTCAGAGTACTTCTCTTTTGTTATCATGATCTTTATCATATGAAGAAAGCAACAATCTCATTGCAGTTTTTTGGACTCATTTTTCAGATATTTGAAAAATATTTATATTTTGAAATAAACTATTTTTCTTTCATTAACCACTTAATTTTAACTACCCGCTAGTAAGGTCTAAATTTTTATATATCTAATCTTTCCATCAAATCTTACCTTTTAAGGTAAAGGTACATTTTACAATCTAACAAATTGAATTATATTGTCCCTCATGAGATATCATCATGCCAAAGAATAATTTCAAAAGAGAATTTCTGTTGAGAATAGTGGAATTTGATATGCTCTGTGATGTAATCTAGGGTCTCAGTTCTCATACAGACTGTCAAGATGAGAATGGATTTTAGAAAAACTGAAGTGTGAATGAATTGCATTTATTCGTGTATCCAGAAAATAATTATTGAGTTTCTGCTTGTCACTATGCTGATCTCTCTGCATCACACATTAATTCAAGACTTGTTATTTAATTGCTTCCATATTCAAATAATGACAATAGAAATTTCAATGTACGTTTTTCAATAAGCTAAGTGGAAGAATATATCTTCGAAACAGAGTAAATGGTCATGTTGTCGTTAGAAATAAGTTGCTATGTACACAGAAAATGATGAATTTAAATGACTCATAGCCCTTGTTTTTGGCAGTGAGTAGACATCAAAACTGATTATCTATCAAGGTCACTCCTAAGTGGGTAACAGTAAAGCTAAATCATGTATTATAAGAGAATGATTATATGTCTATACACTTTACAGGGACAAGCATCTAATTAATATAAATGATATAATATCATAAAGGTACGAGTTAATGACAAGGGGGACCTGAAGACTTTCCTATTTTACTCCATTGGTTTTCTTTATCCACTCTGTTGATATATTAACTCATGATCATTCTTATTGACAGTGGAATGGTCAAGAAAGGCCTGTCAAATCAGAAAATTCTGAGGTTTCGTGTCACATATTTTATCAGAGAGTGCTCTATAGAGGGTATTCGAAACAGAGTAAATGGTCATGTTGTCGTTAGAAATAAGTTGCTATGTACACAGAAAATGATGAATTTAAATGACTCATAGCCCTTGTTTTTGGCAGTGAGTAGACATCAAAACTGATTATCTATCAAGGTCACTCCTAAATGGGTAACAGTAAAGCTAAGTCATGTATTATAAGAGAATGATTATATGTCTATACACTTTACAGGGACAAGCATCTAATTAATATAAATGATATAATATCATAAAGGTACAAGTTAATGACAAGGGGGACCTGAAGACTTTCCTATTTTACTCCATTGGTTTTCTTTATCCACTCTGTTGATATATTAACTCATGATCATTCTTATTGACAGTGGAATGGTCAAGAAAGGCCTGTCAAATCAGAAAATTCTGAGGTTTCGTGTCACATATTTTATCAGAGAGTGCTCTATAGAGGGTATCAGTGTTTGTGACAGATCTTTTCAGTACCCTCTGCATATATTGCCCTCATTCCTAGGACAGTTTATCTTTATGGTGCAAGTACCACGCCAGCTCCCAGGGTTTTCCCCAGGAGGGATTTTCCCTTCCCAGAAGTGCTGAGCTTCAGTTGTCCATGATAATCCCTGGCTTTTATTGCCTGCTTTCCCATCCCTCTTTCATCTCACCATTTACTACCTGTGGTTCCTTCCTCTCCATCCTTTCCCTCCAGATTACCCTCACATCCTATCCTAGGGTCTACTCCTGGGTGAAACCAATTGAAAACATGATCAAAATAAACCGAGAAGCCTGGGGGAGTAATTTATCAAGCAGCAAACAGGCATACATTTGGAAAGAAATATCTATTAATTTGAATGCAGTAAAGTATTTTCCTTTGAAAAATGTGACCAATCACATTCTGGGTCCAACCAGATAGCAACTTTTATTTATTTATATATTTGTGGCTGGGTTGGATGCTCGTTGCTATGGGCTTTCTCTGCTTCAGGCTTTTTCTAGTTGCAGTGCTCGTGCTTCTCATGGCCGTGGCTTCTCTTGCTGTGAGTGTGGGCCCTAGGTGCATGGGCTTCAGTAGTTGTGACTCTCTGGCTTACTTGCACCATGGCATGTGGGATCTTCTTGGACCAGGGATTGAACCCATGTCCCCTGCATTAGTAGGCAGATTCTTAACCACTGGACCACAGGAAAGTCCCAGATAGGAACTTTGATAAGAATTATAGCCTGAGATTTTGAGTAGTTACAGGAAGGCTCTAGAGGCAGGGGATTTCGTCCCTAGATTTTTATGTAAGGATGGCTAGGACACAGGCACAGAACAGACCGGGATATCCAAAGTCTGGCATAATTAAGCTTTGTTTGTAGAACTAGAAAAAGTAAGCCTCCCAGAATCAACTGGAGTTTGTATTATTTGAACTCAGTCACCGAGTCCATGCTGAGAAACTGGCATTTGTTCAAAATTTTTGGCCAGTATTCTCCATTTATATTTATTATGCTTGAGTTCTTTCAAGATTCTTTATAGTGGGATTTTAATTTACTGCTCAGTGTCCTTTTTCCAGTTTCTTTTTGCATGTTGCTGTTAAACTCTTTAGGGCTTTTGGTTTATTTTTTGTCACTTGTTTTGCTACCAAATTGTATGGTCAAACCAAGTAATATGACTCCATGGGATCACAAAGACTTGGACACAACTGAAGCAACTTAGCACACACGTATGCATGGAAGAGCTGGCAACAGGTGATCTTTTGAAAATACAAGCCTGATCAGAGTACTCCTCTGTCCAGGCTTTCCAGTGGCTCTGCATGTCACTGAGGAAGTCAGAATTCTTACAATGTCCCGTGAGGTCAAACTCCATCCCACCCCTGGTACCTCTCAGACTTCATTTCTCATTGCTTTCCTTCTTTCACTCCGCATGTAGGTCTGTTCTTCTTCCTTGAATCTCCCAAGCACATGCCTGCCTCAGAATGCTTGCAACTTTGCTGTCCCCTTGGCCTGACATGCCCAATGCCTAGATAGCCACATGGCTTGTCCTTGAGTGTTCTTCAGGTGTCTGCTCAAATATTGTCTTATAACTAGCCATGCCTCAGTTACCTTATGTAAAAGAGTATCTTCCCTAGGGATTTTCAAGAGGGAGGGGACAAATACCTATGACTGATTCATGTTGATATATGGCAGAAACCAACACAATATTGTAAAGCAATTGTCCGTCAATTAAAAATAAATAAATTTATTTAAAAAAAAAGAGTATCCTCCTTAGAGGATGGTGTTATATAAGCCAAAAAAGAACAGTCTTTCAAGGAAAAGAGAGCAGTTACTTTTTTTGTCAGATTCTTGCCAACGATTAAGAAAGACCAGGACAGCCTTATATTTGGCAATGTATAGATCTTAGATTTGACAAGGGCCATTCTGATGGACTGATGGGTGAGCACTGATGTCTCGTGGGACATGGGAAAAAAAGGAAAGCACGTGCATATAAGTCTTGAGAAATTTGGTGAAATAGATAAAAAATGAGACAGCAGCCACAGGGAGGGGTGCAGATGGCAAAGTTATGGGGGTGGGGAGAAAGAGAGAGAAGAGGAAAGAGACTATTAGGGAAGGAGCAAAGTCCTTGAGCTCAGATGGGGAATTGTCTTTTTCCATGAGTAGGATACTAACTCCGTTGCAATACAGCAAGGGGAGAATATGGGTATAAATGTGGGTGGCTGTGCAGGTTTTTAGAGAAAGATGAGTGGATTTGAGATTGATGATTTTTATTTTCTCATGAACAATAGAGTTAGCTCATCAACTGAGAATAAAGAGGGAGGAGGAGGTGTGAGAGTGTTGAGGATAGAGCAGGTATGAAATAATAATCTAGTATACTGAGATGGGAAGTCTACCAAAGAATCAGATAGGATTAGCGAAGCATTTGCTGTTAACATGAAATTTGAAATTGAGTATTTAAAATGAAAAAAGTCAACTCACTTGAATCATTTGTTTAGCTGTGTGCAGACAAACACGTGGGAGTGAAAGATTTGGGATATGAAAGGAGGAGGGTCAGGGCAAGGTGGTCAAAGGCATGGTCCAAGTGGTGACAGTAGTTGGACTCAAGAAGTTTGATTAGACAAGGAGGGAAGTGAAGCTGACAGATGCTGAGAAAGTGGTGGGAGTCCAAAGAGTAATGAAGTGGAGGACTTGCAACAATCGGAATTTGTCAGCAAGTGAGCTGGAAGGATAAGGAGAAATTGAAAGAGAGGCATTTGAGGTCCTGCCATGCTGGGTTAGGATGAGGAAGCAAATGACTGAGGAAACTGGGGGAATGGAGGTGTAGGAGCTGAGAATGTGGGGTACCGAGTGCCTCATCCATGGAGTTGGAGAAGCCACAGAAGACAGTGGGCCAGAGTACAAGAGTCTTTAGTAAAAGTGGGAGTGTTATTAAGAGGTCAGTAAAATAGCACAAGGAGAAGAAAGGGAGGGGAGATAAACAGATCCCATGTGTCTGAAAGGGGAAGATGATAATGTTCTGAAAGTGGCACTGGAGAGCGAAAAGGAGATGTACCCCAATAAATATGATGATATGATAATAACGGTAGTAAATAAGAAAATCCACTTAAAAGATATAAAATGCTGGTGTACCAAAAAAGCAGGGTATGAAAGAGAAAAAGGTGAAAACAAAGATGCTGAAAGTATCAAATAAAAGCTGAAAATGCAAGTTATTGATCATTAGCTTATTTACCATAAGGCTGCTTAAGGCTGTGTTCTGACATAACTGAGTAGCATTCTAGAGAGAGGGTTCCTCAGTAAACATGAGAAGAAATGAATTAGGAAATCAAAAATAAAAAATTTTAACGGCATGAAAATAAAATGATTTCTTCCCTTATATGGACTGCAAATAATGACTAGATTTGATAACTCCTAATTATTCTTTATACGTTGAAACCCATCCCCACCTTGCAATTCAGAAAAGATAGTGAAGGCATATGAATCATTTTATTGCTGTAAACATAACTCTTTAGAAATTACAAACCAACCTAAAATAGCCAACAGATGACCATGCAAGGAATTAGGACCCAAATAATCCCCAAATATTTATACTGAAAATGGAAGAAAAGCACCTTGTTGTAAACATCGCCCAAGATGAATATTAGAGTTTAAAACTAGTTGTAAAATAGCAAAAGAAAAATAAGTTAGACTAAGTACAGCTTGATGATAAAGTGTTTAGTAATTCAAATATAACAAAATGGAGGAATATAGACAACTAAACAATAGCTTATTCATTGTTTTAAAATTATTTGATGGAGAACATATTGATCTGCTTATGCTTTCATCCTAACATGATTTGAATAACTTAGAACTGGAAGACAAATTCTCTTTCATGGACCTGTGGATTCTAATACAATGTGGAATAAGTCTTGCAAACACCAGGAGTCCCTCAGAAGTTAGAATTGATTAAATAGGCATGAGGAAATGTGGCAATACCTTCAAAAGTTTGTTCTGGGTTTCATACGTTTTCCTGAAAAAGTGAGGGCCGTTTTAGCCAAGATTACAACACCTTTAAATCCTGCTAAAGTCAAAGGCTGTCATGTATGTTATACCCTGACTGACATTCAAATATTGGTATAAAATTAGAAATGAATTGTGTATGTAGCAACTGGAAACATCCAGAGTGAATATGTAATTTTTGAAGCTATATAATTAAAATTGTGTCAGAATAGTACATTGAATAAAGATTATGAGGCTAAAAACTTTATACAAAAATGTAGAGCAGATGTCCAGATGAAGGCCTATAAATAACCCCAAATAGATACTTTTTCTGTAAATTTTTCAGTGCAAATATTGTTACATCAGGCAAGCTAATACTACCTAGCAGATATATTTGAAATTCAATGTCAAAATTAGCTCAAAATGGTATTTTGATTGATATTAAAGTATTTGTAGTACACTAATTTTTGTCCCTGAGGACTACATCTTTGGAGAGTAGGATGTTTTGTAAATATTAAACACTTTATTTTCAAACTATATATACATAACATATAAATAACTCTTTATTCCTTCTCTTTTGTTAGGAGCCAGCTGATCTGAGACTCAGCTTGCAATATGGGTTTGAAATATAACTATTCACTTATAAAGATATTTTCATATCTTTACATCTATGGAATGGTACAAGGTATATGAATTAGAGTAAAGCATCTAAAGAGAAGGATTAAATTCTTCCTAAAGGCTGATCATTTAAAAAAAAATTACATGCCTTTAAATGACTTAGAATGGTTGCTGTCTTAAAAAGGTAATTTTAAAATTTAGGGATAAAGAATTAGAACATCAATGTGTAATCCTGAAAAAAAAATTCATTTTGAAACTATCTTCCTAGGAAGATTGATGACTAATACTGCCATTTTTTTTTTGTATCTCCCATGATTTTATGTAACTAGTGGATCTTAATAACAAAAGTTATTAAGGATAGTCACTCTGGCATTTGTTAGATTATCTAAAAAATGCCTCTGGAAGATATCAGGAGTCTTAAGAAAACACTTCTGTATGATATGTCATATCAAAGTGACAAATACTAGCAATTAATTAATAATTATTTTTATTTCTTCAAACTCCTGGATCCGGGCGTCTCAAGTATGCTTTATTTCTGGAAAGATTACCCATTATTAATGGAACCTCTAAAATGAGAGAAATAAAAGAAAGACTCCCTGTGAATGATTTTATTTACACCTCTGCATTTTGGCATGCTAAAGACTATCAAAATTTTACATAGTCTACAGAGTCAATATAAGATGTATATTGTGGATTTGAAAATATTGATACCATTTGCTGTAACATAGAGCAAAATAGCTCTGGGTAAAATAATTCACTCACAATCCCCCTTTGACAAGTGTTCAAAGTCCAGTAACTATTCTTTGATCTTATAACACTCTGGAAAATTGAGTAATTGGGGCAGACTAATCCTTAAAAGATTTTTGTCATATCTAGTTTCACATTAGTGAGCACATATTAACATTGAATTTAGAAAAGAGAAAAAAATGCCTCTACCATACAATAGTAAATTTACCTCTAAGAATGCTTTGATTCTATTCAGAGATTTTTAACCAGGTAACACTATATAGCAAATTCACAGAAATGACTTATCATAAATAGCACATTACTAAAATTTTGAAGTTATAAAAATATATCATAATATATAATTTGGAAACTATTTATAAATTGGAGCATAGATAATCCAAGAGCTTATGACAAATCAGGAATGTAAAATTTAGGCTAGTGAGAAAATTCAGTTTGAGGGTGGAATAAAGTAAGAAAATGGTTTGTCTAGTACAACTTCACTCATGTTAACACAATATCATCAACTCTGTTAAAAGTTCCTAGTTGATCTCTTCAAAATAGCAGCAGAGGGTTGTTTTAAAAAGTACGAAACTCAGTTAAAACCAGTAGTATGGTATTAATTTACTGAAACATTCTAGCTCCCCCCATTAAACATTTTACATTTTCTAAAAACAATTTTTTTAGATCCCCTTCAAATAACCTCCCCAAAGCATAACTATACTGCAGGCTTTTTCTCACAGCTCCTCCCAAATCCTTTATTTTAACGTAGAAAATGTGTAATAAAGAGCTGGAAATATAAAGGAATAACACTAAAAACACTGTCTGAAAATGCAACGCAGTTCCCATCTGCTTCTTTGGAAGATGATTTACCACTAGTGATGACAACCGTGTCAAGCGTTACTGCTTCAGTCTGAGAACAACACCTGGTAGGTTCTCCTTTATCAGGTCAGAGTCACAGCAGTAAAGGGAGAAATGAGTGTGATGCCATGCAACCTCACCAGAATACGATATTCATCACTATTGCATCTACCACTAAACACAAACTAGAATTAGAGAAGTCCTTGACTCCATAGGAATTGTAGCTGAAGCTCCAGCGCGGGATCCAGGCTCACACAGCGCCAGTTCAGCGCCTAGTCAGTCTCACTCGGCTGCCGCTCTCTTAGGGAATTTCCCTCCCAGGAAACATTTCCTAATTTGAGGTTTGTTTCATATAGTGCCCTTATTAAGGTAGGAGTGGTTGGTCGCTTGTGGACTTGGATGTGTAGCCAGGATTTTATTCTTTAATGGCTAAACTGAAAGTGAAAGTGTTAGTAGCTCAGTTGTATCAGATTTTTTGTGACCCCATGGGCTGTAGTGCACCCAGTCTCCTCTGTCCATGGGATTTTTCCAGGCAAGAATACTGGAGTGGGTTGCCATTCCCTTCTCCGGGGATCTTCCTGACCCAGGATCGAACCCAGGTCTCCTGCATTGCAGGCAGATTCTTCCCCCACTGAGCTGTGAGGGAAGCCCTCTTTAATGGTTAACCCCAGTCTAAATATGTGGTTGGGCTTTTATTTATATCCTCTGTGACACTGGCCAGACCAGGCATTTGGGGCACATACTTGAGTGTATATTGCATGTTTAGTTTTTTAGAAATATTGCCTGAGCTATATGAAATTTCAAAACCAAGCAAGGAGAATGATGACAATTGCCTTCTAAGGTCAGTGTTTCCTTCCACGCGCTGGAGATACACTAGAGGCCACACAAAAGCACAGAAGACCCTACAGGCACAAAGAAGCCCCTGTCTCAAGTTTTAGTTCATGGTCATGATTGCCTTAGTATTAATATACAAAAAAAAAAAAAAAGTTACAAAGGCTCAGGAGAGCTCTTGCCCAACGGCACTGTTTCCATCGATTTTTCTCACTGTGGTGTCTCACCGTATGCCACAATTTTCTTAGCACGTGGTTGTGCATCCTAAATCACACTGTTAGTATTGTGCTGATGGGAATTGAACCTAAATCACAATGATGGTGAAAAAAGCACGCTGGGGTCCCTGGCTACTTGGTATATTGAACTGTACTGTACTTTGTGATTCGACTCCGGGTTGTGGTAGGGGATGCGGAACCGAGGGTGTTGCTAAAGTGATGCTCAGAGGAACCCCTCAAGTGGCCGATGGTGGCTGTTCCCCCTAAGCTGCTGCTCAGGCCCCCGCCACCTCCTAGGCTGCCCAGCCCGATGCCGCCACCACCTCCTCCACCCGCACTGCCCAGCAGGCCGCTGCTGCCCGTGATGCCGGAGCCGGAAACTACCCTCTCTGTCACAATCACGTTGTGGGTGTTTGATAACTCAGGGTGCATGCTCAGATTGCCCACTATGCCGGAAGTTGGCTGGATCACTCTTTCCGTCACTACTACATTCGAAGACTGCCTAGGGTCAGGGATGGTCAGAGTGGTGGGCAGACTTGAACTTGGTGCTATGACCCTTTCTGTCACTATCACGTTTGACCCGTCTCTCAAGTCAGGCATCTCTAACATCCCCTGCAAGTCGGCACCAGAGATTGGACCGACTACCCGCTCCGTCACCACCACGTTTGATGCGTGCCGGTTATCGTGAATGTGGACAGAGGGCTTCAGAGTGCCCGAGGAGGTGTAAGACTCCGTCACGGTGACATTACCATAGCCCAGAGGATCAGGAATCGGCGTCGGATGCTGTACCCCAGGTCCCGAGGGGTAGGTGTTCTCAGAGATGACGGTGGTGGTGCCGAAACGTGGGGAGATGGGTGGGTGTCCACTACCAATGGGCTCTGTTCCCTGCGGAGGGCAGACCGGCTCAGTGCTGTCGGGTGGCCAAGACGGATCAGAGTCTGGAAATGGTTCAACGTCTTTTCCCAAGCTGATGTCCGCCAACTTCTTAAACTTCGGCCCCAGTGTATCCAAGAAGCTGTCATCCAAGTCTTCTCCAATGAAGCTACAACAGCCTACAGAGCCCGCAGGGGAGCCTGCACCTTCAATATCATAGATGAGCAGACAGTCATTGGATGGGCGTCCTTCGTCTTCATCCGCATAAGCATATGCTTTCTGAATTTGTAGACGAAAGAGAAAATGGAATGATGAATACATTTTTAACAGTAATAGAGGTCTTTAGCATTATTTCTTCTTCCAGGGCTTTACCAGAAAACTACACATAAAGCAAAATTCTAACATCTTCCAGAGACCCTTGTTGTTTAGGTTGCTAAGTCGTGTCTGACTCTTGGCGACCCCATGGACTGTAGCCCACCAGGCTCCTCTCTCCATGGGATTTCCCAGGCAAAGATACTGGAATGGGCTGCCATTTCCTTCTCCACAGACTTTTTAGAAGTCATTATGTAATTACTTGAAAGAGTTTGGTTAGAAATGACTTTAACCGTAATTTTGATAATTTGTTTTGATATTTAGATGGACTTTTTCATGTTGGTGCACTTTGGACACAAAATCACGAAAAGAATAAAATGAATTATTTTGCAACCAAGTTAGCAGGACATAGTTAAAAACACAGAACTTAAAGTATGCCAGAATTGTGTATTTTGTGGATTTGTTTAAAAGACGCAGTTTATAGTTGATTTGGGTTCATTCGGTATTGCACTTGTCTTCCTTCAGATGAAGTGAATATGGTGATTTATTTCCATGTGGTTTGTAAAGCAAGGTAAGAGGAGAATTTGACTCTGGGTCTATGCTACTTTGAGATTCAAAATCAAAGGTGACCAAAGACAATTCTTAAAAATGGAACCTCTGTCAAGTCAAAGTGAAAGCCCACAGACGTGTGTGCTTTTATTTCATCTCTCTTGTCTGCAATATTAGATTGCAAACTTTCAGGTTAGACAGAAACACCTAGCAAACCAACTCATTGTGCCATTTCAATTCAAAATTATGTTTTGAGTCCTTACTGTTTGCCAGACACTCGATTAGGAAGTTGGCGATAAAGTAATGAGCAAAACCAGGTAAAGTCCCTTTCTCATAGGGCTTACATTTCAGTAGGATGAACCAGAAAATAACACGTAAAGGTTTCTGTCAGAAGGTGCAGAGTAAAGGAACAGAGAGAGATGGGGTTTGTCTTTCAGACAGAGTGGTCAGGGAAAGCATCTCATAAAGTGATGTTTGTTCAGAAACTGGAGTAAAGTCACCGGGAAAGTAAAGTAGAGAGAGAGGGTTTTGGACAGAAGGAGCTACAAGTGCAAAAGTTTTGTGGCAGAAATTGTACTTTTCATGAAAATAATATTCATGTGTAGGGACATGGAGAAGAAGTCTGCCTATGGATTTTAGCAACAGTCCTTTTATTATTTGCTACTATTGGAAAGATTTTTACTGGTATTTCAGTTCAAAATATCAGCCACTGGGTTCGATCCCTGGGTCAGGAAGCTTCTCTGGAGAAGGAAATGGCAACCACTCCACTATTCTTGCCTGGAAAATCCCACAGACAGAGGAGCTTGGCAGACTACAGCCCATGGGGTCGCATAGAGTCAGACACGACTGAGTGACTTTTTCACTGTTTTTCTGATTAGGAGGGTTAATGAAGGTGTTTTAGGCCAGGATGTATAAAGACATATATGTATGAGAGACAGTCTCAGAGGTAAGAAATTTTTGAAGGTTTAAGTGTCCTAAGAAGTATAACTAAGGGCAATTCTGTCTCTACCTGTAGATAGCAAAATTAGCTCTCTCTGGTTCTTAGAATGTCCTAGAAGTGTACTATGGCTCTTGGGCCTACTCTTTCTTATTAAAAAATAATTTTATTGGAGTATGTTGCATTACAGTACTTTGTTAGTTTCAGCTGTATAGCAAAGGGAATCAGTTATATGTGTTTATATATATATGTATGTATATATATATATATATATCCCCTTTTTAAAATTTCCATTACTCTTACTGCATTACTCCTTTACCCTGTTCTTGAAACTGAGCCATGTACCAGCAACATAATGTAGAGCGTGTATGGACATGGGCATGTGACTAACAGATTTTAGCAATGGAACATTCCATAAAATGTACAGACAAAGTACTACAGAAATACACCTATAGAGACATCAGTCCTATTTTGGATGAGAGGATAAACAGTTAACAATTTCAGAAAGGTGGAAATGTTTGAAGTGGATTGAAAGATGAGTGGGGGTTGGTAAGAGAGATGATCAGACAGAAGCATTCCAGGATGAGCACAGCATGAGAAAAGACATGGAGGGGAGTGGACCAGTGTGAACAAGGCAGAGGCTCTTGGCAAGTGGGGTTGTTGGTAAGGAGTAACTGGAGGTGTGAGGGCAGAGGTCAGTTGGTTAATGGCTATGTGAAGGAATTTTGGATTTCATTCCATAGACAAAACAGAGGTGGGAACCACTGGCTATTTTAAGCAGGGGAGTAAAGTGCTCAAGTCAGAATTTTAAAAATGTTATTCAACTGGAGTATAGATTGCCAGCATCTATATCTAAAGACCAGAGGCTGGGAACCTAGTTAGGAGATGCCCACCATACCCTTGTTGAAAACGGTAGGGGTCTGGGGTAGAGATGGGGCTTCCTTGATTGCTCAGTGGTGGAGAATCCACCTGCAATGCAGGAGACACAGGAGATGGGTTCAGTCCCTGGGTCAGGAATATCCCCTGTAGGAGGAAATGGCAACCCACTCCAGTATTCTTGCCTGAAAAACCCTTTGGACAGGGGAATCTGGTGGGTTACGGTCCAAAGGGTCATAGAGTTGGGCATGATTGAGCTACTGAGCATGGGGTAAAGATATGGGTGCAGGATGGAGAGAAGGCATGGGGACAGAGAGCTTACCTGGCAGAAGTAACTTTCCATGAAGTTCATATTCAGCCCTCCTTCTCTACATTCCCTCATAGAATTTCTTCTTAGTGTTCCAGGATATTCTTGACATATCTCAGGTCCTCCTGACATTTTAACTCCTTCTGTTAGTTCAAATCCTGTTGTTCTTTCTCCTCCTCCCAGATCTTGCATTTCTCTGCCACCATACTCATTTGTGTAAACTCCTAAAAGTGTTGATCAAATTAAATTTTACTTTCCAGTAAACTATATTTTAAATCCAGTAAACTATATTTTCTCTAGTGCATTGTAAACTAAAAATTAGTAACTTATTCTAATGTATAATTTCTTCATTTAGGTATGCAGTTGTGAGCAAAGAAATAAAATGAAGGTAATACATAAATAAAGGAGATTATAAATACGATATTGAGTTCAAAATAATATTATTAACCAATTTGTTAATTCAGTAATTATTTGTTGTATTGTTATGTATGTCAGTCATGTCCGACTCTTTGTGACCCCATGGACTGTATCCCACCAGGCTTCTCTGTTCATGTAATTCTCTAGGCAAGAATACTGGAGTGGGTAGCCATACCTTCTCCAGGGGATCTTCCCAACTCAGGGATAGAACCTGGGTTTCCTGCACTGCAGGTGGATTGTTTTACTATCTGAGCCACCAGGGAAGCCCATTATTTGTTGAGAGTTTACTACATGTTGTGCTGGGATAAGGGGGCTCCCTAGAGGTTACAAAACCCTATCTATACCTTAGAGAGTTTGATTTCAAATTGGAGGAAAATACCCAAATTCTAAAAGTTAAAGAAAAAGTATAAGAATATTCAGTGTGTATATATTAGACTCTAGCACAGGCACTCCAAGGCTTTCAGAGAAGAGAACATGGCTATGGTAAGGGGAAAGGTTTTCGTGGAGACTCTGGGATTTGCATTTAAATGTGAGGGGTGAGTGGAAGTCTGTTATAGTATTCCAGATAGATAAGATAAAAAGGTGGCCTAGACTACGCAAGTGCCATGGACAGAGAGTGTTGAAAGTCCTAAGGCTTTCATATTTTAAAGCTCTTGAGTTTAGGTACAGCTTTTCGTACTTCTTATTCTGGTGCTGTTCATGTGCTTTGCTCAAGGTTTGTAGATTTAATAAGGGAATAAATGCATAAATAAATCCTTGTGGGTTTGAAGATTTGTCAAGTCTTGAGAACTGATTGGGTGTCAATGAATAGGAAGCTATGAGAGTCAACAATGAGTTTCTGCTTTTGAAGTGGAAGGTATTGGTGTCATTAACAAAAATGGATGCCTCAGGGGTAGAAATAAGTTTAAAGACTAGCATCTCCCGCCTTTTGAATGTGGTTCAGTTCTGTAAGTTATAAACATTCTATGTCTTTTCCATTTTGAAGAGTTCAAAGTGGAAAGGTCATGATCACAAGTTTGAAAAAGACTGAAAAAACCAGAATCCGTAATATTTATTTACCTTGAAAAGAAGCAAGATGGTGGTACAATTATTTTCAAAATATGAGTTTTTAAAATTAATTGCTCTTTTTATTAGACTGATTTTGTGAATTGTAGAGGCAGAGGCTAGCCTCAATAAATGAGCATATATCTATTTAATAGGGTTGTTTTTAAGTTCAAATGAGTAGTTTTTAATAAATAGTTGCTCTATTAAACAAAAGAATCTCAACCAAAATTGACTTTTGTACTTCTCTATTTACAGAAATCCCAGTCATCTCCTGTGTACTTTCTGATGATTATGGAAGATTTAAAAAAATACAGCTTAAAAGAATAATAATTACTGTAGTTTTTTCTTTATCATTTAATTTGCAAATTAGTCATCTACAAAAGAATGATAGGGACAATTGTAAAGATAATATGGTTGGGAAATAGTAAGGTATACAAAGACAGAGAACAGAGTTCCTTCTTAGTAAATGAATTGTTAAAACTTAAAAAAAATTTTTCTTACCTGAGTTGTCAGCATACTCAATTACATTTGCATTAGTGGCTGGTATGCATGGTACACCGGTATTGGTCAGAGCCTAAAGGACAGGAAACATTTTCCCATTTGTAATGATTCTTTTCTTTCAATGGTTATACAGTGGGCTTGTTCTCAAATTATCTGAGACATTAAAAAAAAATACTAAAAATAATGTGAACCTCACTGAGAAAGGCTTTCTTGGCTGCTGTCATCCAAGTTTGACGCACCTTTGATTTCTCTTCATTCACCCTTTCGGCTCTCTCAGAACAAAGAACAGTCTAGACTGTGAGTGATTCCCTGTGTCTTGGTTCAAGAGTTTTGAAGACTGTGAAGGGGCCGCCTGTTATTGGTGAGCACTTACCCCAGGATCGGCCTGTGCACCTTCCACTGCCCACGAGTGAATTGCTCCATCGGAACATTCAGGAACAGGCTCGAAGCCAGCCCTTAGCATCTCCCGCCTTTTGAATGTGGTTCAGTTCTGTAAGTTATAAACATTCTATGTCTTTTCCATTTTGAAGAGTTCAAAGTGGAAAGGTCATGATCACAAGTTTGAAAAAGACTGAAAAAACCAGAATCCGTAATATTTATTTACCTTGAAAAGAAGCAAGATGGTGGTACAATTATTTTCAAAATATGAGTTTTTAAAATTAATTGCTCTTTTTATTAGACTGATTTTGTGAATTGTAGAGGCAGAGGCTAGCCTCAATAAATGAGCATATATCTATTTAATAGGGTTGTTTTTAAGTTCAAATGAGTAGTTTTTAATAAATAGTTGCTCTATTAAACAAAAGAATCTCAACCAAAATTGACTTTTGTACTTCTCTATTTACAGAAATCCCAGTCATCTCCTGTGTACTTTCTGATGATTATGGAAGATTTAAAAAAATACAGCTTAAAAGAATAATAATTACTGTAGTTTTTTCTTTATCATTTAATTTGCAAATTAGTCATCTACAAAAGAATGATAGGGACAATTGTAAAGATAATATGGTTGGGAAATAGTAAGGTATACAAAGACAGAGAACAGAGTTCCTTCTTAGTAAATGAATTGTTAAAACTTAAAAAAAATTTTTCTTACCTGAGTTGTCAGCATACTCAATTACATTTGCATTAGTGGCTGGTATGCATGGTACACCGGTATTGGTCAGAGCCTAAAGGACAGGAAACATTTTCCCATTTGTAATGATTCTTTTCTTTCAATGGTTATACAGTGGGCTTGTTCTCAAATTATCTGAGACATTAAAAAAAAATACTAAAAATAATGTGAACCTCACTGAGAAAGGCTTTCTTGGCTGCTGTCATCCAAGTTTGACGCACCTTTGATTTCTCTTCGTTCATCCTTTCGGCTCTCTCAGAACAAAGAACAGTCTAGACTGTAAGTGATTCCCTGTGTCTTGGTTCAAGAGTTTTGAAGACTGTGAAGGGGCCGCCTGTTATTGGTGAGCACTTACCCCAGGATCGGCCTGTGCACCTTCCACTGCCCACGAGTGAATTGCTCCGTCGGAACATTCAGGAACAGGCTCGAAGCCAGCCCTGCCGCTGGGGGCGCCTCCACAGTCACAGCAGATCAGCAAGAACGGGACCACTGATGGGGGAAAAGACAGGAATGCTGGGATTAACAGTGGGACCATACTAGAACAAAACAACCTACCCTGATGATTAAATTTGAATCCTTAATTTAACTCCACTTGATTCTAACATAATTATGAAAGTTTCAGAAAACAAACTGAATATTGGTGAGATAACAAAATCAATGTGAGCTTCAGACTGCAGTCAATATTTACTTGTTACAGAGTATTCCGATGACAGATGGTATTATACTATTAAAACAGATGAGTTTTTTTTTCTCCTGTCATTATTTAGGAAAGTATTAAAGGAGAAATAGTCCTCAGAGATTGTAACATTTGGCTCATTTCCACTCTATCATCCTCTAAAGCAATGTTAAAGACCGCTTGGAGAATCCATTGAACATTGCACCCTCATATCTAGATCCTTGACTAGGTCCTGTCTAGTGACCATAGGATGTGGTCTCTCTCTCTCTTTTTAAAAATTTTTTAATTAATTTTTTTGCTTAATTATTTATTATTTTTGGCTTTTTTATTGGGTTTTTACTGCTGCATGCATGGGCTTTTCTCCACTTGTGGCAATTGGGGGCTAGTCTTTAGCTGTGGTGTGTGGGCTTTTCACTGCTGTGGCTTCTTTTGTGGCTGAATACGGGCTCTAGGCCCACAGGCTTCAGTAGTTGGGGCTTGTGGACTCAGTAGTTGAAGCTCCCAGGCACTGGAGAACAGGCTCAATAGCTGTGGCGCATAGGCTTCATGTCTCGGGAGCATGTGAGATCTTCCCAGGTCAGGGCTTGAACCCATGTCTCCTGCAGTGGCAGGCAGATTCTTTACCACTGAGCCACCAGGGAAACCTGTGGTCTATTTCAAAATACTCCCACGAGTGATACTTCTTTTTCATTATCAAAGTGTTGTTGTGAAGTAAGTCTTATTATTTCACAGAAGGCAAAAGCAAGGCCCGGGGAGTTTGATATTGAAACTCCAAATAAGAATCTTAACTTATCTACTTAAAAATATTGTAATATATAGTGGAACTATGTGTAACTTTGTTCTGTGTTTTCCAAGTCTCCTATAAATGTGTTATCATACCTTCATGATTTAAAAAATTAAAATTAAAAAATAGATACTAAAAAAAAAAAAGCAAGGCTCAGAAAAGTTGGGTAACCTTGGAAAGACTCAGACAACTGAATTTAGAAGCTGGAGTTTGTTTACCCCTTCTTCTCTTTGGCTCTCCTTTTCTTAGACTCCACAGCTTTAGCATAGCTTTTGAACTGTGGTGTTGGAGAAGACTCTTGAGAGTCCCTTGGATAGCAAGAGATCCAACCAGTCAATCCTAAAGGAACTCAGTCCTGAATATTCATTGGAAGGACTAATGCTGAAGCTGAAGCTCCAATACTCTGGCCACCTGATGCAAAGAACTGACTCACTGGAAAAGACTATGATGCTGGGAAAGATTGAAGGCAGGAGGAGACGGGGACGACAGGATGAGATGGTGGGATGGCATCACCAACTCGAAGGACATGCGTTTGAGCAAGCTGCGGGAGATGGTGATGGACAGGGAATCATGGCTTGCTGCACTTCATGGGGGCACAAAGGGTTGGACACGACTGAGCGAATGAACTGAAGTGAAGGGAAATCCCCTCAAGGCTAACCCCCTCCCTATGTTTATAGTCTCAACTCTCGTCTCACTGTCAGACACATCCTTTATTTCTTCTCTGCTGGAGTCCTTTATTGTGATTACTTGCACTCTCATTCTTTTGGGATTGTGCACAGGGATTTTTTCTTCTTCTTCTTGTATTGTGTTCCCCTTTTCTTGTCCAGTAGGCTAGCTCCTATTCATCTGTTAAAATCCAACTCAGAGTTTGCTTGCTCCATGTAGCCTTTTCTGATTGTTTCAATCAATTGTTTCTTACTGTCTTCTTCACTCGAACAGCAGTTTGAATCTGTCTGTTATGGTGGTGGTTGGTGGTGGTTTAGTCATTGTGTTTGACTGTTGTAACCCCACAGGCTATAGCCCACCAGGCTCCTCTGTCCATGGGATTTCCCAGGCCAGAATACTGGAGTGGGTTGCCATTTCCTTCCCCAGGGAATCTTCTCCACCCAGGGATCAAACTTAAGTCTCTTGCATTTCAGGCAGTGAAATTCTCCTGCATTGCAGGCGAATTCTTAACCAACTGAGCCACCATGGAATCCTGTTAGGGTACTTCCCTATTACACTGAGACTCAATGCAAAATAGTTTTTATCCTCCACTGCACTCTAAGAAATCAAACTGATTTTTTTTTTTCATTGTATAAACCCAACATCAAACATAGAACTTTCTTGATAATTGCACAAAACAAGAATGTATAGAATATATTTCATCAAAGGGACAGAAAACTAATCGCCTCCCTAGTTTTTTTGGAGGGACACATAAAAACAGGACTGTTCAAGTACTTACATCCTAGGACCAAGAATCCCATGATGAGTAGTCCAATGCCAGCAGGACCAAAATGTACATTATCTCCTCCTGGCTGATAAATACTAGGTTGATCTACATTGTAATCATTTGTGCCAACAGCTAAAGTATTTGTGCCAATACCAACACCAGTTAAGTAGCCTTTAGTGGTAACATCGCCAGAAGTAGGGCCATTTTCACTGGTGGTACTTCCATTCAAATTTGGATGATCAGTTTCCCAGCCACCATTTTCAAGGTCGATAATAATTGTACCAGTACAAGTTTTTTGAAGAGCATCTGTAACAAAGTTTAAAATGAAAGAATTATTTTATACATTTAGTTTAATAATTGTTGGATGATACAAAACCATTTTCTCTCTGCATAAATACTTATTTCAGTGTCTTAATTCCTACCAATTCAATAACCCCCCATATTGTCCTTTGTCTGTGACTCAGTTTTTCAGTCAAATCATTATGAGTAAATATTAGTGCTTGAGAAAAACTGTTCCATGTGTTGAGAAACATACACAGTAAACATCACGTTATGTGTTGGTCAGCAGTGTGTTATATGTCAATGTGGAGACATTTCTAGACTATGTGTTGCACACTTCTCCATATTTTGTTTGCTGTTTTACTGTCTTTCATCTTCAGTTCTTGTTTTTTTTCCTTTTATAGGATGACAAAACCAACAGACTTTGAGCAGGTTGGTCTGTCATTTGTATAGAAATCACCTACTAATAAAACATCATATCCTCAAACTCACAACTGTCAGTTCAAACAACCCATAGGAGGCAGAATTTGGCACTATTGGAGGTGAGGGATGGATTTTCATTATTAATAAAGTGAAGAACTTTTATTTCACTGTTAGACATTTCAAATTTGCTTTCTTCTTGTCCTTTGAAGTTTCAATAAATTATTGTCTTTGTTGGCTAAACATAAGAGGAGAGATATTTGTGGTTTGTTTCAACTTAATGGCTCCACACTTGCTGCTGGTTTCAGCAAGTTACTATTATTGTTATTGTTGTTCAGTTGCTAAGTTGTATCAGACTCCTGAGACCCTGTGAGCTGGATTATTATCTCTATTTTATAGATCTAAGTTTTGTTGTCAGACTTTGTTCAACATTGTCACTCTAGAATCTGGCACAACGGCTAACATTTGGTTAGAATTCAATACATAGTTTCTGAATAAATGAATAAAGGAATTCCTGCAAGTAGGTAATAGAGATAGGCTTACATCCTAGTCTGTGTGTGTGTGCGTGTGTGGTCTGTTGTGTCCGATCCTTTGCAATGCCCACCAGGCTCCTCTGTCCATGGAATTTTCCAGGCAAGAATTCTGGAGCAGGGTTGCCATTTTCTACTCCAGGGGATCTTCTTGACCCAGCGATTGAACCCACATCTCTCGAATCTCCTGCATTGGCAAGCAGATTCTTGGCCACTGCACCACCTGAGAAGCCCACATCCTAATCTATCTGATATCAAAGTCCATGTCATTTCAGTCAAGCTAAGCTGATTATATTGTTATTGTTGTATTAGAGTACAACAATTCTATTGTTACTGTTTTTGTTATTTTTATTATTATCATCAGATCCAATGTTTACCCCAGAAAACTGTATTTTTTAATGACAAAGGTATTGTTCCCTACTTGCCATAAACCTACAGTTTTGGTAAGCGTAAGTTTCAATTTCTCCTTCATGTGTCCAATTAAGCTTGATTTTGGGTATAAGGAAAGGAGTAACCTAGCAATTGCTTAAGACAATTTCAGCACTGAAATAAGCTTATCTGTGGATGGAATAAACATTTCTATTTGTAATACACATTTTAAAAACTACATTTATTTTGACTGATTGTGAAAAAGACCAGCATAGTTTGGTAAAAATTCTGAATTAATGAATGACTTTAAAGAAGTGCTCCTTTATTTCTTTTTAATCCGTGAAGCAAGTGGAAATTGTCAATCCCATTTTAGGACAATTGAAAGAAAAAGAGAAGAAAGAGACAGAAGAAGAATGAGAAGCTGACACAGCAAATATTGCTTAGAATCAGCTTTGAGGAACTTTCCTCCTAGTGATCTAACCTAATTTAAAGCTGTTCATCTTGAAAAGTAATAAACTTGCTAATTCCAAATTGTTTACATGAAGTTGTACATCAACTAAGGATCGTATAAAGTTAAGCTAGCTTGGCTTTGTGTCTATTTGAAAATAATTTTACAATATTTTTAATTAAATTTTTAAAAATTAAATATTTTTAATTAAATTAAATTACAAAATTTTTAAGTAAAAATTTTCAATTACCGACATTAATAGGAACTAACATTTATTGAAAGTCAGCACTTGTCTAGCGCTTTACTGTAATAACTCCTTGAAAGTGAAAGTGTTAGTTGCTCAGTCATGTCTGACTCTTTGCAAGCCCATGGACTATAGCTCACTGGACTCCTCTGTCCATGGAATTCTCCTGGTACAAATACTGGAGTGGGTTGCCATGCCCTTCTCCAGGGGATCTTCCCCACCCTGGGATCGAACCCAGGTCTCCCACATTGCAGGCAGATTCTTTACTCTCTGAGCCACTAGGGAAGTACTTAATAACTCAAGTACTTCTAAATCCATAATGTTCCTGTCCCATTTTATGGAAGAAAAATGTGAGGGATAAATGGGTTAAATAACTTCTCTAAAATCTGTAGCTAGTAAATGACAGTACAATATACCAATCCAGTTTCATTTCAGAGCTCACAGTCCTAACCATAAATTATGTCTCTTGTATCATTCAGGATTTGATTCTGTAATGCCCAGTATGATAATTTTTGTTGGAAAAGGGGTACTTCAAAATACAATAATTAAAATTTTAGTTTCTGAATATATATGTATATACAAATTCCATGTATATATAATATAACTGTATACACAAATTCCATGAGAAGGGAAAAAAATAAGTTGATTTCTTACCATCTATAGATAGAATTGTTCCTTGGTATTTTCCCTGAAGTATTTTGTATTGTTCCATAGTAACTTTATTTCTCAAAGTAATTACGGCTGTTCTTGAGTCAATAGCGATCAGGTCAGCTGGATTTCTTCCCATTACGTATCTGTTTTTGAAAGACAGTGGTACAAATTAATGTTAATTATGTAGAGAGAGCGAGAGATTGATTTTTATTTTTTTGAAGGATAATTGCTTTCCAATGTTGTGCTGGTTTCTGCTGCCATCCACCGTGAATCAGCCATAAGCATACATATGTTCCTTCCCTCTTAGACTTCCCTTCCACCCCCCCTACCTGATGCGAAGAGCTGACTCATTTGAAAAGACCCTGATGCTGGGAAAGATTGAGGGCAGGATGAGAAGGGGACAACAGAGGATGAAGTGGTTGGATGGCATCACCGACTCGATAGACATGGGTTTGGGTGAACTCCGGGGGTTGGTGATGGACAGGGAGGCCTGGTATGCTGCGGTTCATGGGGTCGCAAAGAGTCGGACACAACTGAATGACTGAACTGAACAGAGCTGAATATTCCATTGTATATATGTACCACATTTTATCCATTCATCTGTCAATGGACATCTTCCATGCCCTAGTTATTGTAAACAGTGCTGCAGTGAACATTACGGTACGTGTGTCTTTTTGAATTATGGTTTTTTCAGGGTATGTGCCCAGTAGTGAGACTGCTGGGTCAAATGGTAGCTTTATTCCTAGATTTTTTGAAAAGGAAATCTCCATACTGTTCTCCATCTGTCTGTATCAGTTTACATTCCCACCAACAGGAGGGAATGTAGAAGGGTTCCCTTCTCTTTATACCCTCTCTAGCATTTATTGTTTGTAGATTTTTGGATGATGGCCTTTCTAACTGGTGTGAGGTGATGGTTTTGATTTTAAGACGTGTTTCCTGCCAGTAGATGTAACCCCTGAATATAATTTTCAATCATTAGAAACTGTGTCTGAGGACATTCAGGAAAGGATGGAGATTTAAACTTAAGAAAAAGAATTAAGCAACCACTTGTGATGGAATGTCTATTATACCCACTTGGATGTCTGAATAATCCCTTGATACTTGCAGCCTCATTTTCATTTGATTTTGGTAGCATCAGAACTGTCCTGGACAACCCAGATACTGGGACTTCCTGGACTGTTGCTAATTCTAAACTTTTCTCTTACCAAAGAAGTTATTTCTTCAGAGCTTGTCTTTCATCCCTTTCCTATTTGCACCCCCTCCCCATATACACAGTGAATTTACAGAATTTCTTGTGGATTCCAAACTCTGTCCTTGTCTTGCACCTCTATCCTATTCTCTATTCTCTTCTTCTCCTCATCTTTGACTTTGCAGGTTTCCTTCCATTTATACATCTGTTAGACATACATTGGTTAGATAACTGTCTGTGTCAGGCGTTGTGCTAAACGTGGGGAATAGAACTTAGAAAGAAGTCGGAGGTAGAGGTGTAGTCTTCCCTCAGTGAACTCACGTCTGTGGAGTACAAGAGAGCTTATCAGCAATGGTGGTGCAAAGACCGTAGATGGTAATGCCTGTATGTGGAATCTGAAAAAAATTTGTGTAGATGATCTTATTTATAAAGCAGAAATAGAAACAGATAGAGAGAACAGATGTATGGATACCAAGGTGGAAGGAGGGATGTGATGAATTAAGAGATTGGAACTGACATACATACTCTATTGATACCATGTATAAAATGGGTAACTAATGAGAAGCTACTGTGTAGCTCAGGGAACTCTAGGCAGTACTCTGTGGTGACCTGTGGGGAGGAAATCCAAAAACGAAGGGATATATGTATGTGTTTAGCTGAGTCGCTTTGCTGTAGAAGCTAACACAACGTTGGAAAGCAACTATGCTCCAGCTCCTGCTTAGTCGCTCAGTCGTGTCCAGCTCTTTACAACTCCATGGACTGTAGCCTACCAGACTCCTCTGTCCATGGAATTCTCCACTGGGGCGAGAATGTGGGTTGCCATGCCCTCCTCCCGGGGATCTCCCCAACCCAGGGATTGAACCCACTTGGGGAATAGAACTTAGAAAGAAGTCGGAGGTAGAGGTGTAGTCTTCCCTCAGTGAACTCACGTCTGTGGAGTACAAGAGAGCTTATCAGCAATGGTGGTGCAAAGACCGTAGATGGTAATGCCTGTATGTGGAATCTGAAAAAAATTTGTGTAGATGATCTTATTTATAAAGCAGAAATAGAAACAGATAGAGAGAACAGATGTATGGATACCAAGGTGGAAGGAGGGATGTGATGAATTAAGAGATTGGAACTGACATACATACTCTATTGATACCATGTATAAAATGGGTAACTAATGAGAAGCTACTGTGTAGCTCAGGGAACTCTAGGCAGTACTCTGTGGTGACCTGTGGGGAGGAAATCCAAAAACGAAGGGATATATGTATATGTTTAGCTGAGTCGCTTTACTGTAGAAGCTAACACAACACTGGAAAGCAACTATGCTCCAGCTCCTGCTTAGTCGCTCAGTCGTGTCCAGCTCTTTACAACTCCATGGACTGTAGCCTACCAGACTCCTCTGTCCATGGAATTCTCCACTGGGGCGAGAATGTGGGTTGCCATGCCCTCCTCCCGGGGATCTCCCCAACCCAGGGATTGAACCCACGTCTCTTGCTTCTCCTGCATTGGCAACTGGATTCTTTACCACTGAGACACCTGGGAAGCCTTAAGCAACTATATTCCAATAACATTAAAAAAAAAACCACACAACAGTAATGGCACAGCTATAATACTCGAATGGAGTGAGTTGACTACAGAGCAAAAGCTTTAAAAACTCATTTGTGAGGTCTTTCCGCCCCACCATTGTTTTTGACTACAGGCACTTTTCAAAATACATGTGCACATATAATACAGTGATTTTTCATGATCAAGTAGAAACATTTGGATATGTAGAGTTAAAAAAAATACAAAGCATGACTTTTTCCTTAATGTAACCAACTTTTTCATATCAAGGTTATTGTTGACCAATATTAAATGCTGATTAAAGTAAGAAAGTAACTGATATGAGTTAGCTAAATCTAATTGATTTCAGTGGGTGGATTTGCAATGGGAAAATCAATCCATCAAATCTTCTAAGGGGAATACCATGATATGTGGAAATCAGCTAACTGATCAATAAAATATATAAACACAGGAGTGTCAAACTTTCAAGATACAATTATTTTCACATTTTAAACCTTCACACTTTCCATCTTACATTTTTCACAGATATTTATACTTTCTTAAACACTCTAAATTAAGTAACAGTTTACCAGTTTGTATGTTATATGACTGAATTTCAAAAATAGTGATAACTATTTTAATTCAGATACAGTTCAATATGTGGTGAAAATTAGGTGGAAAAAGTCAGTCTTACCTAACAGTTGTTGAAGGCCGACCTGTGTCGAGATCCAAAGCTACATAGTCTCCTATTTTATAGTTTTGTCCCATATTACTATTTACTACAAATGTCTTTGAACCTGGACGGAACACTGAGCCTTCAATTATGTTTAACACGGTCACAGAGACTGCGGTTGCTGTGAGTTTATATTGAGACATAATTGATTGATGAAATTCAGCTTTATTTCTAACACCAAGACTAAGTTGCAGATTATTCATAGCTTCAAAATCTAGGGGCTAGAAAATACAAAGTGAAATGGTTTTACTAGAAGGAGAAAAAGCATTCTAGAGGAAAGAGAAATTCTTTGATTAGAGGCAAAATAAATTCTCATATCTTTTTCTCTAATAAAATATAAATACATATAAATACACAATCTATTCTTACTTTATGTTCAATTCAATACAAACACATGAAATACAGTAAGAAAAAAAATCCAGTTGTCTTAGATCCTTTGTTGAAAAAGTTAAAAATGTGTGAGTTCTAACTGACCACCAAATTAAAAAATTTCAAATAATACAGATGGTCAAATCCATTGATTTTGTAGTTCAAAGAGAGCTTATGCTAGCTGCTATCATTTCACATTTCTCAGAAGATAGCCCTATTTATTACAAAGAATGGGCCAAATATATCTAGTCTCAATCATTTGACTGATTTTATCCATAAAGAAATATTTATAAGAAATTTTATTTTGTATATGTGATTTCTTTCAATAAATCAAATAATAGAATATAATATATAAATAATAAAAAGAAATCTATAGTTTATTCAGTATATCCAGGAAAACATGCATTTTACTTTATAAAATTATCAAATAGTAATTTTCATTATGAAAGATGATGTCAAAATCCACTACTTATATAATCCACAGCTATGCAGTATGCATGTAAATACCAGCTACATTTTTCTAAATTTTCACAAGAGTAGATTAGATGACCATCAATTCACACATTGAGCTCTCCAATTAGCTAAAATTTTCAGTCTTTGCTCTAATATTATCTCAATTTGCAACTCTAAGAATGGTTATAAAATTATGTATAGATACACATCATATGCACTTATTGTGCTGGTTTAGTCACTAAATCATGTCCAACTCTTGCGACCCCATGGAATGTAGCCCACCAGGCTCCTCTGTCCATAGGATTTTCCAGGCAAAAGTACTGGAGTAGATTGCCATTTCCTTCTCCAGGGAGATCTGCCTGACCTAGGGATCGAACCTGGGTCTCCTGCACTGCAGACAAATTCTTTACTGACTGACCTACCAGGGAAGCTCTATGCACTTATTACATGCATAGAATCCTAAAAAAATGTTGCTGTGAGTTTATATTGAGACATAATTGATTGATGAAATTCAGCTTTATTTCTAACACCAAGACTAAGTTGCAGATTATTCATAGCTTCAAAATCTAGGGGCTAGAAAATACAAAGTGAAATGGTTTTACTAGAAGGAGAAAAAGCATTCTAGAGGAAAGAGAAATTCTTTGATTAGAGGCAAAAGAAATTCTCATATCTGTTTCTCTAATAAAATATAAATACATATAAATACACAATCTATTCTTACGTTATGTTCAATTCAATACAAACACATGAAATACAGTAAGAAAAAAATCCAGTTGTCTTAGATCCTTTGTTGAAAAAGTTAAAAATGTGTGAGTTCTAACTGACCAGCAAATTAAAAAATTTCAAATAATACAGATGGTCAAATCCATTGATTTTGTAGTTCAAAGAGAGCTTATGCTAGCTGCTATCATTTCACATTTCTCAGAAGATAGCCCTATTTATTACAAAGAATGGGCCAAATATATCTAGTCTCAATCATTTGACTGATTTTATCCATAAAGAAATATTTATAAGAAATTTTATTTTGTATATGTGATTTCTTTCAATAAATCAAATAATAGAATATAATATATAAATAATAAAAAGAAATCTATAGTTTATTCAGTATATCCAGGAAAAAATTCATTTTACTTTATAAAATTATCAAATAGTAATTTTCATTATGAAAGATGATGTTAAAATTCACTACTCATATAATCCACAGCTATGCAGTATGCATGTAAATACCAGCTACATTTTTCTAAATTTTCACAAGAGTAGATTAGATGACCATCAGTTCACACATTGAGCTCTCCAATTAGCTAAAATTTTCAGTCTTTGCTCTAATATTATCTCAATTTGCAACTCCAAGAATGGTTATAAAATTATGTATAGATACACATCATATGCACTTATTGTGCTGGTTTAGTCACTAAGTCATGTCCAACTCTTGCGACCCCATGGAATGTAGCCCACCAGGCTCCTCTGTCCATAGGATTTTCCAGGCAAAAGTACTGGAGTAGATTGCCATTTCCTTCTCCAGGGAGATCTGCCTGACCTAGGGATCGAACCTGGGTCTCCTGCACTGCAGACAAATTCTTTACTGACTGACCTACCAGGGAAGCTCTATGCACTTATTACATGCATAGAATCCTAAAAAAATTGATACATGATGTCACACACATCTGGGAGAAAAATCAACATTATTCCCATTTTACAGATAGAGATATTGAGGCCAGATAGATAAATCGATTTTCTAAAGTAACATCATAGTTTTGGGTGTAATAGATTAAGACTCAGTTTTCCTAGCATGGAAGTCTAGGTAGGATAGTGGAAAAAAGAATGTGAACTTAATAGCTAGAGATGCCGAGGTTTGAGTGTCAGTTGTCCCACTTACTAGAGATGAGAACTGAGCAGGTTACAAACTCTCTCTGAACCTGTGTATTTCTTTGTAACGTGGGCATAGAGCCTAGTTTGCAGGGATACTGTAGAGCATAAGCTAAGGCACGTGCACAATGACTAAGTGAATGGAAGCTCTAGGTATGGTGACATTTATGAAGACATATGAGACAAATGATCACACGTTCCTATAGGGCCACAATTCCTCAGGAGTTCATTTCCCAGGGCAATTTTGAAGGAAGGAAATAGTTAAAAGAGGATTGCATTTTACCATGAGGAATACGTGTTGCATGCATCAGACACAATCCATGCACAGCTATTGCAGATTTTAAAAAATTGACTGACAAGTCTAACAACACAGGGTGAAACTTTCACTGTCGACTCCCTAGGAGTCAGACATTTTTCCTCTGAATCTCAGAGAAAATTCTACTGCAATTAAATTGGTGGATAAATAATGTATTGGAGACAAAGAANTACTGCAATTAAATTGGTGGATAAATAATGTATTGGAGACAAAGAAGAACTCTGTTGACTGGGACCAAATTTCTATGATATGGACCAAATCTCTAGTGTATGTATGCCTGTAATAAGCCTGGGTCAGCAGCCAATGTGAGATGAGAATTTGATAATCCTGCAAGTACAGGGGGCTTCCTGTAGCTCAGCTGGTAAAGAATCTGCCTGCAATGCCGGAGACCCCGGTTTGATTCCTAGGTTGGGAAGATCTGTTGGAGAAGGGATAGGCTACCCCTTCCAGTATTCTTGGGCTTCGCTGGTGGCTAGGCTGGTAAAGAATCCACCTGCAATGTGGGAGATATGGGTTCCATCCCTGGGTTGGGAAGATCACCTGGAGGTGGGCATGGCTGCCCGCTCCAGTATTCTGGCCCGGAGAAGTCCATGGACTGTAGTCTAATTTTAATTTTGTAAAAAAACTCTAGATAAACTAACAACTTTTAATTCATATGATGAATATTGTTAGTGAATAATAATTGATGTACAGTATTGACAGGGACACCTTTTTTAAGGCCACGTTGAATCTGGTTCAAAATAAAATTCTTCAAATTGAAAGGATTAATTAATTATTGTTACAAGCATAAAACAAGATTTATGTTTAAAAATGATTTCCCTTTATATGATCCATGAGGGAATATTGTATTGATAGGAAAGAGTTTCAAGTAAAAACTTCAGTGCCTATTTTTATGAAGTGACATAAGCAGAAAAACTCTCTATAAAAGGCTCTATATCATATATAACCCTAAAACACAGTAATTTTTATTCTTTTGCCCACTCAAGTTTGTGAAGTGTTAATATCATTTTAAGATTACCACTTTGAAAAAGAGCCAAGAAAACAAAATGTTGGATAGGATATACTATAATAGGATACCATACCTTAACAACCTTTAAAATTCCCACATTTGTTCTTTCATTCATTTCTATTTCAAACCAATTCCCCTCATTTCCAGAGATGAAGAAAATGACTGCCATCCAGTTAGCTGAGAACTCCTCATCCAAGTCTATTACTCTAATCTCGAGCAAATTTGAATTCAGAGTGTTTTCTTCAATGCTTATGGAATACTGAAACAAGAAGTAAAAATATTTTAGCACAAACTATGTAAGAAAGAGAATTATACTAGTTTTATATAGAATGCTTATAGTTGTTCATGATATCGAAAGGGGATCCATGTTTGTGGTCTGACTTTTCATTGTTCAAATATGGGTTTTTTTCCTATGTATTATATAAACAAACACGAGATGAAATATGTGTGTACCTTTGTGTTATGACTTAAAAATAACTAACATGTACATCTCTAAATAGAATTGTTAGAACGAATTTTAGAAGTTAAAGAAATTAAAGTTATTAAATTCAAGGACTGGACTTTGCTGGTGGTCCAGTGGCTAAGACTGAAAGCTTCTAATGCAGGGGGTCCAGGTTCAATCCATGGTCAGGGTATTAATTCCCACATGCTGCAACTAAGACCAGGTGCAGCCAAATAAATAATTTTAAAAAATTCAAGGACTAATACTTACTGTTGGCTGTTCCATGTATGGTATATTATCATTGACATCGAGGATTTTAATGTTGCATTCACACTCTGCTGACATACCATCTGCCCCACCATCTCGGTCTGAGCCTCTTACAGCTAGAGAGTACTGGCCATATTGCTAAAAAGACACAACAAATAATATCACAGTTGATGTAGACAGTTCTTACTTTGTTTTGTACAAAGATCTTTTAAAATGTTGGCTCAACATTTGCATAAATCTATGATAAGATAGAAGTAACACAGAATGTTGAAAATTCACAAATCTCACATGAATCGATATGAAGCTGCCACTTCTATTTCCAACAATGCCTATCCAGCATTATTTAAAAGAAGCAAAAATTTTAAAAGCCCTCATTCCTTATTATATGTTGAAAAATAATATAAAGGGCGAAGCAGACCAAAATTGTTAGGAGGGGAGAGATCATTTACCAGGAATTTATAGAATGAAAATTCTGTACCTAAATTATTAGCCCTTGAATGTGCAAGTAGAATAAAGAGATAGCAAATGTTTGCATTTCTGGGGAGTGGCATGTTGTGGCAGTACAGTTACTGATGATCTATTTTCTTGATTCTATTCAACGGTGCTTCAATTTTTAGAAGCTGGTAAAAGCCATGAAGCCTTTTCTAAATATATGTATATGTGTATCCTCACTCAAAGTTGATATAATTTTAGAGGATTCACAATTAGAGATGTCTTGAGAGCTCTCCATAAATCCCGGGTTAAGAATATCTGCTCTGAAAAAAAGGGAGAGGCCTCAGATTAATAAGATTAGATATGAAAAAAGAGAAGTAACAATGGACACCACAGGAATCATGAGAAACTACTACAAGCAACTGTACACCATAAAATGGACAACTGGAATAAATGGACAAGTTCTTAGAAAGGTACAATCTCCCAAGACTGAACCAGAAAGAAACAGAAAATATGAACAGACTAGTCACAAGTGCTAAAATTGAAACTGTGATTTTAAAATTCCCAACAAATAAAGCATCAGGTGGCTTTGCCAGTGAATTCTATCAAACATTTAGAGAAGAGTTAACACCTGTTCTTCTGAAACTGTTCCAAAAAATTGCAGGGGAAGGAATATTCCCAAACGTATTCTATGAGGCCACCATCATCCTGTTACAAAAATCAGACAAAGATACCACAAAAAAGAAAATTATAGGTCCTAAGAAAAAGTAAAACTGTCACTATTTGCAGATGACATGATACTATATATAGAAAATCCCAAAGATGCTACCAGCAAGCTAGAGCTCATCAGTGTATTTGGTAAAGTTGTAGGATACAAAATTAATACACAGAAATCTGTTGCTTTCACAATGAAATCTATACTCTTACAGTGAAGGCTCAGAGAGAGAAATTAAACAATTTTATTTCTCATCACATCAAAAAGAATAAAGTACCTGGGGATAAACCTATCTAAGGAGACAAAAGACCTGTACTCTGAAAACTATAAGATCTGATGAAAGAAATCAAAGATGACACAAACAGCTGGAAGTATATACCATGTTCTTGAATTGGAAGAATCAATATTGTCAAAATGACTGCACTACCCAAGGGAATCTACAAATTCAATGCAATTCCTAGCAAATTACCAATGGCGTTTTTCACAAAACAAGAACAAAAAACCTTAAAAGTTGTATGGTGACACAAAAGATCCTGAAAAGCCAATGCTCTCTTGACAAAACTGGAGCTAGGAAAATTAGACTCCCTGACCTCAGACTATACCACAAAGGTACAGTCATCAAAACAGTATGTAACTGATACAAAAATAGAAACATAGATCAATGGAACAATATAGAAACCCAGAAGTAAACCCATGCACCTAAGATCAGTTAATCCACAACAAAAGAAGCAAGACTTTACAATGGAGGATAGACAGTCTCTTCAATATAAAGAGGTGTTCAGTGCTGAGAAAACTGGACAGCTACATGTAAAAAATGAAACTAGAACATTCATTAACATCATACACAAAAATAACACGATACACAAAATAGATTAAAGATTTAAATGTAAGACTGGATAATAGAAAACTCTTCGAGGAAACTGTAGGCAGAACAGTCTTTGATATAAATTTCTGCAATATTTTTTTCTGAACCATCTCTTAGAGTAATGGAAATAAAAACAAAAATAACAGGACATTGATGGAAAAACAGACATAGAGAATAGACTTATGGACATGGGGAGAGGGGAGGAGTGGGTGAAATGTATGAGAAGAGTAACATGGAAGCTTACATTACCATATGTAAAATAGATAGCCAGTGGGAATATGCTGTATGGCTCAGGAAACTCAAACAGGGGCTCTGTATCAACCTAGGGGGTGGGATGGGGAGGGAGATTTAGAAGGGAGGGGATATATGTATACCTGTAGCTGATTCATGTTGAGGTTTGACAGAAAACAACAAAATTCTGTAAAGCAATTATCCTTCAATAGAAAAATAAAAAAAAATAAACAAGTGAACGCTAAATAAATTCAAAAGCTTTTGCATGGCTAAGGAAACCATAAACAAAATGAAAAGACAACCTAGAGACTGGGAGAAAATATTTGCAAACGATTTGAACAACAAGGGATTAGTTTCTAAAATTTATAAACAGCCCATGTAGCTCCATATATGAAAAAACAAACAACCAATCAAAAAATGGGCAGAAGACCTAAGTAGACATATCTTCAAGGAAGACATCAGATGGCCAAAAAGTACATGGAAAGACACTTAACATCACTTAAAGATGCAAATCAAATCATTAGAGATGCAAATCAAAACTACAATGAGATATTACCTCACACCAGCCAAAATAGCTGTCATCAAAAAATCTACACACAATAAATGCTGGAGAGGGTATAGAGAAAAGGGAACCCTCCTATATTGTTGGTGGGAATGTAAATTGCTGCAGCTACTATGAAAAAAAATATGGAAGTTCCTTAAGAAACTAAAACTAGAGCTGCCATATGATTAGCAATCCCACTCCTGGGCATATATCTGGAGAAAAACATGGTTCAACTTGGTAAAAATCAGTAATTATTTTTTTTATTTGCAAGTGAATAGACTGGTCTGAATGTTACTGAATTCCTCTCCATCCTTCTGATTCTGTGACTCATTTCCCAAAGTAATCAGTGGGCTATCAGTATGTGAGATATAGGAAGAGAAAAGGGAAAAAAGAATTCTCTTGTTAAATGAGCCTTCGATAGGATAGATTAAAGAAAGATAAGCAAACAAACCAAAAAAAGAAAGATAAGCAAGTTTCTTAACCTGTAAAAATTCTTGGGGCTTCTATTGTGTTCACCTCCATTGTGACTCATCAAGATGGGGGACATTACAGCAATTGTTTCTTAAATTTATTTCATTGTAGAACAAACTTAGAAAAAATATAGAAAAATAGAGCAAATAGAGCTTTTATGTCTACCTTGTGTGTATTTTTATGTACTTTCAGAATGTAGTTTTCTCAAATTGAGACAAATCCAGTAAGATTAAATGAGAAATGAGTATAAAATCTATTTGAGGAATTCTTATTTTTTTCATCTCACAAATATTTCTTGTGTCATTCCCATTATGTGAAAAGGTTATGTAATTAAAATTTTAAACTATTGTTTTCTTTTTCATTTCTTCTTCTTAGAATTCTTGCTTTTAGAATCAGTTCCATTGAGACTACAACCCACTCAAAGGAAAACAATTACCTCTCTGTCTAGAAAATTATTCATTGTTCGAATTTCTCCAGTATATCTGTTGATGATAAACATTGGTGAATCTGAAGGTTCTTGTCTTATGATCTTGAAGGCTATTTTTGAGTTCAAATTATTTGGTTCATCTGCATCAGTAGCATTGAGTACCATCACCAGTGTATCTAGAAATCAAGAAAAATTGATTGCAAATGGACAATTTTCATTTTTGTTGTAATATAGTATATTGCTTTTTCAACAAAGTGTTATGGTTAGTTAGTCCATGTAATGGGAACTTCACCACTTTCCTTTTCTATTGCTTCAACATATCAATATCTTAGCTCCTTTCAATACCTTTGTCTTGATGAAAAGATAACATTTTACCAGGAACCTTAGACATTACTGATATTTAGAAAACAAGGAAATATTTTCTTCTGCTTTTATATTTCTTATTCTAGTGTAATTATTTTTTTAAAAGGCTCCTATGGTGAAACAAAGTGACATAAGGACAGACCAACTCTCCCAACTATAGTACTTTCTAGCTATGTGATCTTGGCCTCAGTTTCTACATCTATAAATGGGGGTGAAATTGTATTGTCCTCACTGAATTCATGAAAGAATTAAATAGCTATATGAAATAAAATTATGTAAAGTTCCTATTGAATAATGTACATTCAGTAAATATATTTTATTATTCTAGTTTGCACGGTCTCTAGTAAAGTACTAGGTGTCTAGTAGGTTTAAAGAGATGCATGTTTAATTACATACTGCACCTGTTCTTCACCTTTTCCAAAATCTTATTGGTAGTTTTAATGAAGGATGCTGGAGAATGTGAAGAGCTGCCAGCATTCATAAACTAGATTTTTCTATACTCAACTCTATTTCAAGCACAATTTATCTTTAGACACAAACTATCAGCTCCTGTCCCTCTCTCTCTCTCCCAATGTCTGTGTGGATTTATTTCAGCATTTTTAAGTGTTTTTCAGAGGCAATTATTTCATTAATTATGGTGCATTCATATAATAAAATCTCAGGAAACTCTTAAAAGAAATGATGAAACCTGTATTTCCTAATATGAAAATGTGTTCAAAATATATTTAAAAATTCACACTGTAGATTAGTATGTAAAATATGGTCACATTTGTTTCTTCTTTGGAAATATGTTTATATATATTTACATGATTATAGAAAGTATGTACCTAAGTAACTAGTGATTCTATTTGCCTCTGAAGAATGGTACAAAGGAGAGCAAAGAATGCATTTTATTCCTATAAATATTAAATAAAATTTAAATGTAATAAAAATAAAAATTAAAATGTAAGAATTATTTGAATTTACAAGAAATTATACTACTTATAAGTACTATGGTTAGTTGAAGTTTTAAATTTAAATGAGACAGTATCTCTGCTGTTTTTTAGTATATTTAGGACAATCTTCAGTGGTACCCTAAGCAATTGATACACTATCTGCACAAGTGACTGAATATTTGGCAGTTAAAATATTGCTTTTAACAGTAATCCATAAGGAAGTAATTGCACATTTAGATTATGAAAGCTCTTGAGAGTAAATACTGGATCTAGTTTCTAGATTTTCTGGTGCCCGTCCACTGACATCCCTTGACATGGTCACCTTTAAATCCACATGGAGGACCAAACAGGATTAGGTTTAAAATACATTTCAAATACATAACATCGGTGACTTGACTAAAAAGCAAACAAAACGTATATTTATTAAATCATATATAAGAAGGGGAAAATGCTTGTTTTGTATTTAGTTAAAGTCACTCAGTCATGTCCGACTCTTTGCGACCCCATGGACTGTGGCCCTCCAGGCTCCTCTGTCCATGAAATTCTCCAGGCGAGAATACTGGAGTGGGGAGCCATTCCCTTCTCCAGGGGATCTTCCCAACCCAGGGATCAAACCCAGGTCTCCCGCATTGTAGGCGTTTTGTATTTCTTTGCTGAAAAAGCTCTTGAAGATTATGAACACCAAATAGATTGTCTGGAGGTGATTGCTGTGAGCTACTTTAAAGTAGTTAAAATTTTTTTTAAAAGTAGTATGAATAGAAGTGGATGAGATTCCCCTTCAAGTAGTCCGTGTGTGCGTGTGTTAGTCGCTCAGTCATATCTGACTTCTTCGCGACCTCAGGATCTATAGCCTGCTAGGCTCCTCTGTCTATGGCATTTTCAGGTCAAGCATACTGGAGTGGGTAGCCATTCCCTTCTCCAGGGGATCTCCAGTCTCCCTGGGTAGGGACTGAACCCAGGTCTCCTGCATTGCAGGCAGATTCTTTTCTGTTTGAGCCACCACGGAAATCCTCAAAGTAGTCAGACTGGGAGGCTAAATTCTCTTCCCAGTGGCTCTGTCATCACTGTGCAAAATACTTTTGGAATTTTTTACAGAGGTGGTGTGTGAGCAAATTCCTCCCATTTCTTTAGCACTGCTTCTTGTGTGTGACAGTTGGAACTGCTTCCACGGTTGAAGGGAAAGCCATGATGGAGCCTTCTTCATGCCTTTCTGTTCTACATGCTTCTCCAAACTTATCTTTCACATTCGTGATGTAGTTTTTTGACAGACTTTAGCCTCTAGATGCCTGGCTGTTAAGAAACAGATCTGGAAACCCAATAGTCTTGTTTACTTAACAAAGTAGACTACTTACTTGCGTTAGAATTTTCTTCTATTTCTCCGACAAAAGTAGACATAGAAAATACTGGAGGGTTGTCATTTATATCCAAAACCCTGACTCTAAGCTCAAGAGGTTTCTCTAAATCTTGGCCCAGTGAATTCAGAGCCCGACAATAGATCTAGGAGAGAAAAGAGAAATAATTACATGGTGCAACTCATAATTATTAAGTTCTCGCTTTCTCTGAGCATTATGCTTAGGTATTGTGGGAAACTAAAAGAACAGTGAGACATATGATTTCCTACTCAAAGGTGGGCACAAACAGTACTTAGAAGGGGAGGCAAACACAAAGTCAAAATCCCATTTGAGAAAAGGTAACATGATAAGTTATATAAAGGAAGAACAAAATAGCTATGACTTCATAGGAGGATGTAATGATTGAGAGATCTTCAAAGAAAATTTCAACAGGTGAAGCAGATAATTGACAGGGTGTTCCAAGAGAAAGGATTCATGTGAGGAAGGAAGTGAAGTGGCAAAAACTCATTGCTTGGAATTAGGAATAGGGGTTATGGGGTTTGAGATTATGACAAAGGAGAGTCACACAGTGGCTTCAAAGAAATATAGCATCCATGGGATAAGTGGTGGCTATGTGGGTGTTTATGTTATTATTTGTTGTTGCTGTTCATTCATTTAGTCGTGTCTGACTCTTTGTGACCCCATGAAGCATACCAGCTTCACTTATTGGGTGTTACATAAGTATACTGTGTACTCTTTTGCCTATGTGGTATATAGTAAGTCCCCTACATATGAACCTTCAAGTTGCAAACTTTCAAAGATGCAAATGTATTATCAATCTATCCCAGTACAGTACTACATAGCCAATTGTATTAGTTGGGTACCTAGGCTAACTTTGCAGGACTTAACGAATACACTCCCAGAACGAAACTCATTGGTATGTAGGGAACTTACTGTGCGTATGTGCATGCTCAGTCTCTTCAGTTGTGTCCAACTCTTTGTGACGTTATGGACTGTAGCCCACTGGGCTCCTCTGTCCATGGGATTCTCCAGGCAAGAATACTGGAGTTGGGTTGCCATGCCCTCTGCCGGGGGATCTTCCTGACCCAGGGATCGAATCTGCCTCTCTTACATCTCCTGCAGGGGCAGGTGGTTCTTTACCACTAGTGCTATGTGGGAAGACCATAGGAACTTACTGTGTTCCATATAAAAAGGCATGTGTTTCAAGAGAAGCTAGTAGGCTGGCATGTTGATTTAGAATTTTCAGGGAAACATTGTGGGAGACAAGGCAGGAATACCGATATGGAATAGTAGACTAAGGAATTAAAGTAGTTTGAGGCATACAGACAAGCAGTATGAGTGAAAACCTGCAAGCAGAGATTACTATTTGAAGGCATTTTGGAAAATTATGCGGTTTGAATTGGAGAGGTTTACAAGATCAAAGAAAGATATTAAAATTTCTCTACTTTTGTTTATCAAGTATTAATAAGTGTTGACTCTAGTGATAGGTGGAAATTGATTAGCAGCTAATGGAGCAGTCAGAAGAGAGATGAAAAAACGAAGTAGATTGATTAAGTTTCTTGGACAGATAATTATGGGAAAATAGCTAGCTCTTGGGATAATTCATTGGGAAAAAGTAGAAAATCGATCCTTTTTTTATTTGGATTTAATTCAGAACACTTCTGAACTGGAGGAGAGAGAATTAATTATGGGAGTTTGTGATGGAAGGCCTCAGACTTTTTAATGAAGCGGGTCATCAGGTCAACTGCGTAAAGTGAAAATGAGGTTGAGAGTTTGAAGTTTTGTCACGGTGGCTGTAAAGAATAGAGTGAGATTAAGGGTGAGTTAAAGTTTCTCCAAGGCACATTCTGAGCTCAGGGGAGTTGAGCAATGTGAATTTATCATCAAGTACGTTCACTCAGGAAAGGCTCCATCTGGAGTTCCAGAAATCACCATTTGGCATTGGAGTGAAGAGGAACTGATATTCTCAACTGAATTAAAGAAAAAGAAGTAAGTTAGGTGCCTGCCCTTCTTGACAAACCTTTAGTTTGACACGGGAACTGACGAGAGGTTAGCCCTTTCGCTAAGGCTGTTAAACAAACACTCCTCTCTCTCTTAACCTTTTGTTTCTGTCAGGTCATTGAATGCCCATGAAATAAGAGACAACCAAAAATGCCCAATATTGAGACTCTTGAAATCAAATAAATATGATCTGAACTTAAGATATTTAAAAAGTGATATAGGCCCGAACACACACATTCATGCACTTACAATGAAAAAAGGGGTGACCTCTCGATCAACTATGGATGTTATATTAATTTCACCAGTTTTTTGATTAATAACAAAGATTCCATAAGGTGGTTGATCAATTCCTACTCCAGAGATGCGGTATGTAACTTGCTGGTTTGCAGCACAATCTGAGTGAATCTGCAAAGAGAGCACAGGTGAAAACATTACAGAGAGGAAATCAACAGTGCAACTGTTTGATGTAATATCTATTTTTCTTGAGAATTGTTGAATGTGAGTTATCCTGTTATCTTTTGAGAAATGTTGGAAATGGGAATTATTTTTCTGGATAAGTGGAATAATTACAGCTCTAGTATCTTCAGCAGTAAATGACAATGTAATAGAAGAACTTCAATTTTAGTTTCTACCAAATAAGAAAAAAGTAAAATATCACTCTCATAAATCTAAATCTTCATAGTTATCATTCATGCATTCACTCATTCAACATTTAAGATGGATCATATTATTTTTAATGTCTGTGCTAATGTTGAGGCCAATAGGGAACTCCTTACCCTCTTTAGGAGTTTCTCAATGTTATTACATAACTTTGATCTTTTGATTAAATGTTTTTTTAAATGTAAAGTTTTGGAAGAAAGTTTTAAGTGAATTTATGTAGGTGACAAGAGAGAGCTATCCAACTCTATTGTAGAAGGTTTTAATTCTGATAATAGGTTGTATTAGCAGAAAAATCAAAGAGACCACTCCAAATAAATTTTATGGAAACCAGGGATCTCTTTGAAATTAAAAATTGCATGATTGTAAGCAATCTTATGGGGGAATCTCTGTGTAAATCTGTGTATATGTATGCATATATGTTTGTATGTGTGAATTTGTGTGTGGAGATGTTTCCGTGTGTGTGTATGTGCACATGTGCATGTGGCTGGGTGTTTACAAAAGGAAAATAAGGGAAAATGAAGGGAAAAGAGAATGCGAAAGAGGGTACATTGTGATTGTTCATAGAAAGCTGAAAGTACAAAGTCAATTCTAGGAGATCATGAGTCAGAAAGAGCACACATTTAAATGGTCCCTGTGAATGTGCTGAACATTAAATTCATTGTTTAAATCACTATATTTTTTCATCTAGAGTTTAGGGTGACACATGATTGTGTATATTAATTTCACTAATGTGATGAGTCAGTGTTCAACTGTCTACCCAAGTGGCTAAATTTCTTAATTTACACTTTTGATGGCTTCAATTTTTATAATCTGAATAGCTATAGTTCTGTTCTGTATCCTAACTTCTCAGTGAGATATGCTCATAAAATATTTCAAAGATAGGTTCTTTTGAAAATTTAACTCTGTCCATTCTGATGTTCGGTTTTTTGCTTTGGGGTTGATACTTACTTTGGCGATCGGGTTCCTCTTTGAGTTGTCCTCACCTTCACGGCAGGCTGCAGCAAACTTAATCCACTCACGCTTTTGCCTCCTAGTGGAAAGCCACTTGATGGTGCCATTTTTAGTGTTATAATCTCTGACCTTGGGTGGGCAGGACAAAGTAATAGTATCTATTAACTTTTATTCATATTCACATTCCATTAAAGATTTTAGGGGTCAGTTCAGTGTCAGAAAGAGAGGATGTTTAGTTGGAATAATTGGTAATTTTGATAATCCATTATGTTAGCATAACATTAACTTTACTTATAAAGGATAAATTTTCATTGGAAAATATATTACTTCTCCCAAACTATATTTTTTCACTTTTAATTTGGAAAAAAATTAATTCGCTATATATTACCTGGATTCTAAATTCACTGTTAACTTCCAGCACCACCTATAAAAAATAAGATAATCATAATTAATTTTTAATTGAATGCTCTACAATGCATGTTATCCCACTGCTTAAAAAAAAAAATTAAACAGTCTTATGGGTCATTAGCAGGTGAATTTGGTTTCTCTCTCAAGGTCTGAGGACAATACTAAGGATTCTTTTATGTTTGGTTTTTACCTTTCAATTTTGCTCTTCTTTTCATTACTTTTTATTGTTAACTTCTTTTTCATTCTTAGCCTGTACAGATACTTGTAATCATATGAGCTAGGATATTTGAAACTAGAACCCAGGGAGAATGAGGGCTGGGAACTCAAGATCTCTTAGTAAATCTTATGCCCGAAGAGTTGAAAGCACTTGGATGGTATTTAGTGATTTCAATAGTATGTAATGATACTAAAATATTTGACTATAGTTTTGGGATCTGACTAGCCACAACTGGAAATAGGAAAGAAAAGCTGAAGTAAAGAAAGCATATAGAGCAGAAATATCTGGAAAACTTTGGAATGTTTGCTTTTTCACAGTCCAATTCTAGATGGAAGATTTTTGAGTATTCTTGAAAATCTTAAGATGATAAATCTTTAATTTGCTTTGAAATATGAGAATAAAAGTGCTGAAATCAAAACAATTTTCTTTATGTAAAAATGAGTTCATATTTGATGTTTTATTGCTGGCATTAAACAAAACAGATGATATAAATGCATCCTTCCACAGCAATGAAAATAAATTACAAGACTGTAGGGACAAATTGCTGTGTAAGCAACTTTCATTAATCTTTTCTCCTGCATTAAACAATTTCCCTGTCAAACAAATGAACTAGTCAAACAGAACTCTCCCTAGTTTCAGCTCTGGCCTTGATCTTTATATATGATTTGTAGTGTAAAGTTATGCATATAATTTAAATTATTTTTTTCTAAAGACAAAGGCATTTCTAAAAACACACATTTATATATTAACTCTACTATATCAATAAACTAAAGACATTGTAAAATATCAAAAAATTATGTGTGAATTGGAAGGATTTATCTACATTTATTAAATTTAACTTGGAATTAGTTAAAGGTGGTATACATTCTTAGTTTCTATTCACCCCTAAATAAGAAAATTTTAACTTGTTTTTTTTTTCAGAATTGCTAATTATGAGAGGTGTTATCATAATTAGACTTTATCTGGACCACTGATAAAAGGAAATTATAGTTTGTATTTTAAAAAATACTAATAATAGTAATTTCAAAATATAATAATTACTTTTTATAGTCACTTTCAATTTCCCCTTAAATAAAAATAAAATTTTAGTCTCCAAGTACATATTTTTAAAAAATTTCCATAATTCATAATGGTTAATATCAGTAGTATAAAGAGATTATATTTTTATTATAGAAATTATATACTCATGGTATCAAATGTTAATCATTATCATTAATCACCATTACAATTTACTGAATGATACCTAATATTGGAAAATGTGTTTAGAGAAATCCATGCACTCAATCTTCAGTAGTATATGTGGTCAATACTATAATTCTTTCCATTTTACAGATGAACAAATTGAGGTTTGGGTATTAATTTAGGGCTAATTACAAAAGCATCTACCTGCCAATGCAGGAGACTCAGGAGACAGGGGTTTGATCCCTGGGTTGGGAAGATCCCCTGGAGGAAGAAATGGCAACCCAGTCCAGTATTCTTGCCTGGAAAACCCCATGGAGAGAGGAGCCTGGCTGGGTCACAGAGAGTTGGACATGACTGAGTGACTGAGCACACACTCACAATCCAAAACAATTCAGCCTAAATTTGTGTTTGTGGCATGTGTAATATAAGATGGCTATTCCATGTAAATTTCTAAGTAAAATACACTATGAAGAATTGACATTATTACAACTTTGAGAATTCAAAATAATTCTGATTTTAATCTAATCTCATAATATCCTTGTGAATTATTAATAGGAATGCTTATATACAATGATAAAAGCAATAACAGTAATGCTATGCATGGGGTGGGAGGAGAAAGAAAAATAAATGACCCAAATGGTCCAAGTTACTTTGGACAAGTAACTGAGTTGTTATTGTAGAGTCCCTCCTGGGCACCGAATTGAAATGATGTTAGTGCAGGTATGTATTTCTTGCTACCTGTGAACTCATGAACACTTTTTCCTCTAATTTGTAGGTGTGGAACTGGGGTGTGGGGGTATCTTATTTGTCTGGGAGCCATTTCTTCACAGTTAAAGAATTGTGTATGCATCAGTTATCTGTCTTGCGCTTCCCTTACCACACCAAAGTGTCAGTGCTTGCTGTTTGTTTTGGAGAACTATGCCAGATGACTAAGAAACCGTCCAACTTTATGAAGCTGGGTCATTCTTTTTCCCATGAGTAGCAACTCAGGCAGAAGATCAAGCAAGTTTCACCACAGAGTCAGGCTCTCAACTGGATTAGTAATTAAAAAACTGCCAAGTCTGCTTAAAATTATGTTTTGTTAACATAATCTTACTGTGATTTGCTCAGAGTCCAGGGGAAAAAAAAAAAAAAAACCAAACCCTGAAATAGTCATTCTTGGACTTTCAAAGGCAAAATAATGAAATAAACAGAGTACTTCATAGGATCAGAGAACTTTCAGTGTACTTGCTGAATTCTCTTAGCTTAGTTTTCTCATTTGTGAAATGACGGGGTAGACTAAATATATATATAGTTACCTTTTCAATTTTAACAATAAATCTCTGTGTGCAGTAGGAAAATAATGAAATTTTTTGATCTTGGGAAAGGCATGATAAAATTGTGGGTTTAAAAGATTACTCCAACCACAGGGAAGAGGCAGTGATTACAGGCCACCAGCAGTGTGTTTACATCAAATTAGGCCGGAGATGCCGAGCTGAACACTTGAGCAGTGGGAATAGACCAGAAAAGATTAAGGGAGAGATACTGCATGGGTGAAACTGACAGGGCTTGAGAACCAATGGGACGTGGGAGTCCAGAGAGGGAAGAATTTCAGGTGATGGCAGTTTTAAACAGGCAGATCCGGAGCACGGGCATAGCAGAATTTAGCAGGTTAGAACACGGCAAGTTTAAGATGCCGGAGAAGGGCCTGGGTGAAGATGCTTAGCTATTTGAAAAGCACATCAGCACCGTGAACAGTGGTGCTTCAGGCCTGATATGTGGAGGAATAACTGCTCAGTTTGCTTAGTTGAAATCATGGAAGAATTTGAAATCCCTCAAGAACACAGCCAAGAAACAGCCTGGGGATGAGAATAAAACATGGGAATTCCTACATTTATGTAACTGGGAACAATGACAAAAAATAAGAAATGAAAAGGAGAAAAAGAAATGGCTGAAAAAATAGGAAGAAAATGTCATGCAAAATCAAGGATGTCAAAGGAAGGGAAAACTGAAAGACAGATGGGGCATGAACCATATCAGATGAATAAAATAGCAGAACAGAGTGATTCCTGAAGAAATCTGAGGTTTTCTAGGATTTTGAATAGGATGCTTCAGTTGGATGAAACAGGCTCTTTCTGACTGAAAGAAATTGGGGAATAAGATGGGGAAAAGGACTTGAAAATGATCATTTTCCCAAGGAATTTGGTGATCAAAAAAAAAGTCAGAAAGATGTGATAGTAGAATTAGATTACTAATAGTGTGCAAGGAAATAGTTTTGGAGAGGGAGACATGTTGGAGATGAAAGTCACTTGGTTGAAGAGGTAAATTGAAGGACACTATCCTGAATAATTTAGACTTTGTCTCTAGAACAAGGATAAGGTTATTTGGGGGAAACTAGGAGAAGGAAATGGCAACCCACTCCAGTGTTCTTGCCTGGAGAGTCCCAGGGGCGGGGGAGCCTGGTGGGCTGCCGTCTATGGGGTCGCAGAGTCGGACACGACTGAAGTGACTTAGCAGCAGCAGCAGGGGACTAGTTTGGTTTATGAGATGTGTTGGGGATGTGTTCTGTGGAGACCATGATGGAGATGCACTTAGGTAATGAAGACTGGTCAAGCTGAGTACATCTCAGCTCTTTTGCCCACTGGATATGGGTGTTGGGGTGAGTCACTTAGCCATTCGGTGCCTCAGTTTCCTCTTCTGTATATGAGACTAAAGCCCTTTCCAATTCAAATATTCTAAGAAAGCAGTGAATAATTCACTTAAAGCACATCCTCAGGGTTCCCTCCCTGATCTCTATTATAGGAGCCAATCCATACATATATATATATTTAAAAGCCACAAGACACAAAATTGCATGCTAATTTCAATGATTCTAATTAAGCTCATTTTTTTTTCTTTTGATGTCAAGGTTTACATTTCTTTACATAAGTAAAAATGGTCTTGAAAGTAATAAGTAGTTTTTATAAGGACAACTTCTTGCATTTAATAATTGTGTTAATCTTCAACAGTCACATTACAGTTTTTAAAGCATCACATTTTGTGTCTAACTGTTATGTATAAGAATGAACCTGAGATAAAGCCAAAATATGATAAATTGCTTCTTTTAAAAAAACCTCCTGTTTTGTCTTTCCTTTGTATTACTTCGGCCATAGCTGGAGTCGACAGCACGTTGGTAGGTCGTTCTTCTTATTTGTTGATTGGTTTACTTATTTCTTTGACAAATACATATCAGATGTGTGAAACCAAGGCTTTATTATTAAGACTTCTGAAGGATCTAAGCCCTAGAAATATTATGACAAGCCTTAGATAAAATGTAAATGTATACTGCATTATGAAAGTAACAGGAAAATTCATCGTGACTGTTTTCATGTGTAATAACCCTCATGATTATTTGGAGTGTGTGTGCAGTGGGGAGAAAATAGAAACCACCCCAAAATTCCCTACTGACACCTCTTCTTTGTGAATTAGACGTCTACTGAGCAATCTCACGCCAGTGCAAGGCACTATGAAGGATACCAAAGTGACTTAGACACAGAATCTGCCCTCGAATAACTTACAGCTAGGTAGTTTTATGAGCAGCAGGCAGTGCTTAATTTGTGAAGCTGTGGTTGTTTATTAGCCAAGGCTGTGCTCCATGCTTGTAGACCAACTGGGATCAGCAACCGGTGGCATTTGAACCACTTTAACTTGCCTAAGTCCATTAGAGGTCATCGCATACCAAACATAGCCAGCGAGAGTGACATGACCCAGTGCTCTGGAAGGGTGCTCCCTCACTGTGGGGAGCACGGTAAGTCTAACTGCGGGACTAAGCACACATCCTGCTTCCAGTGTCAGGACAGTGCCGTGTCTGTTAGGACACGGAGATAGCCAACAACAACGTCCTTGAAGAATATGTAGCAGAAGAGTTATCAGAAATACAGTGCTCTGGGAATAGACAGTGTTATTTTTCTAGATTTATGAGCCTTGTTAAGTTGGTGAATCTTGTCCTTTAGCAGGCAAGTCATCAGATTTATCCAGTTAACATTTCCTAGTTCTTTAGGTTTTTCTATCTCCTCAATCAGACACAGCAAATGATTTTACTCTGTAGCAACTCAAGCCAATTAAATGATGACAAATTTGTACTCTTTATTTTCATAAAAGTGAAAGAACAGGCCAATCTTAAATCTGCTGTGAAATTCCAAAGCTTTTAAGAGCATCATGATTTTACTTAAATACAATTTATATATTTGAATTAACAGGTAAACAGAAATGCTGCTTCCATCTTCTAGAAAATATTTTACTGAAATTCTGATATCTGTAATATGTATCACTATAATATGAGCACAAGAAAGCCTAAAACCCTCTCTTTTGCTTCTCTCCTGTTGTGTCTGTACTAATTCCTTAGTTCTTCTCTTGCTTTAGGCATCAATAGACACAATTATGGAAATTTAAGATTCTGGTTCACATAAGTTGATGAACTATGTAATAAAGTATATATTATATTTTAACCCTGGGCTTGAGAAATACTCTAAAAACAACTGCATAATAATTTCAACAACTTAATAATTTCAGCCAAGTTCAAACTATAGAATTAGTTTATCTGGTGGTCATAAGAAGTTTTTTTTAAGGGAAGTATTAACTGTGGAAAGAGGAGAAGTGAGGCTGATATGATCAACTGAAGAAATCAATCATTCTTAGTAGTAAAGATGGGTTTATTTGTTCTTTGAGTGTATGCTGCAGAAGCTGACTTTTATAGAAAAAGACACCTTGATATCTGTATTGATTTGAGTTGATCGATTGGACCTGGTGAAGTTGCAAAGTGAGTTTTAGAAATCAACAGACTTATAAAATTCTACTGGTTCTACTTTGCTTTTTCACAGTCACCGTGCCATCACTTCTACCACAGTTACAGCCACTCAGAGAGACTTCTTATATTTGATGTAAAGTTAACTTTGTTTTCTGGTGTAGAATTCATTCTAACCACCCCCAGCCCCTTGCTAGCCATGCATATACACACCAAACTCATGGAAACAAAAAGAAAGAAAGAAAAATAAATGTAGCGTTAATAACATTTCTTTGGCCTGCAATGTTATAACAGCTGTAAGCTAGTGTCTGTTCAGGCACCTTGCCTAGATAATGGAATAGTCGTGTGGCAAGCCTGGCCTCCATAAGAAGTTTCTTCAGCTTTATTCTCCTTGATTGAACCCACTAATTTGAACAGTCTTAAAACTTAAAGGAACACTGAGCAGATTACACAGCATACTTGTAAATATATGGTTGTCGGGCTCTCAGTGGGTTTGCATTAAAGATAGTATCAGTTTAAATGTCTTAAAAGTTTTCAAAATTGCCCAAATATGCTCCTTAACATAATTTTCACTTACCAATTTTGAGCAGAGAATATAAAGATAAATATAAAAATCTTTACATAGATTTCTTTTCTTTTTTTAAAATTGGTAAAAGCAAACATTCAGAATAAGGCTAGCAGAAAAGTTTGATATAGTGCTGGTTCACGTTCAGAAGAAGTATTTTAAAGCAAAAATAGATTGGATAACTCCAAAGGATATTTATCCAGATCATCTGGTAAAATCAGTAGTAAAAATAACTTGTGATTTTTCTAAACCTTAGAAAGTGAAATTTTTTAAAAAAAGTTATTTTAAATGGAAGATTTAAATTCTTTATAAAATAAGTTCTTCAAGAAATAATTTTCCTAATGTGTATGAGAACCTATGATTGATTCCAAAGTAAAATATGGAAAAAAACAAACAAATGATTCACATGCAAACAGGCAAAAACTATCCAGATTCAGAAAATAAAGGACAAAGGCCCAGAACTCTCTCTACAAAGAGAGACAGTTACATGAAAATACATGGTTTTGATAAATTGATATGCTGTACTGAAATTGATATGCTGTACTGAAGAATGACTAGATACAAATGGCTGTTTAAAGGAATTTTATAGGATGTAATTAATTAGAAATAATCATAAAAATTTAAAAAGGCATCTTAGAGATTCAATGAAGATACATAAGCATCTGAGTAAACTTTAATCAACTGATGCTATAATGGACCTGAATCAGATCAAATTTATATGAAATTAAAAGTATTTTCTTATTTCATAATTAACAAACCCTCCTATGTTCAAATGCCATACCGTGTGGTGCTCATTAATCCCTGCCATGTCCCAAATTATGAGATTCTCAGTATCAAGTCACTGGACTAAGTCTAATGTTTGAAGGGCAGTTTGGAACTATATAACTACCACTTACTGATGCTCATTTATTAATAAACCCACTGGTTATGGCCTCTCAATTAATAAAGTGAATTCAAGTTAACCAGCATGTGTTGAATCAAAGATCTCACTTGTTATACAGACACCCAACAATCCAGTTCAAAAATGAAGCAAGTAGAGACAAATATTCACCACAGCACTACATCCTGCCAAAATTGGAAGACACGATTCACCTGGCAGTTTCCTCTTTATATTATATTAACATTATTGTGAGAGAGACTACAATTTTCAATTTTTCAACACAAGAGAAGCTGATACAACACACTAGTCCTGTACTTAGAAGTTGTCTCTAAAGTGAGAAGACTAATAAAGTGTAGGGTGGCAATAATAAAGTATTTTGTTATAGTTTCTCTGATCATCAATGTGCAACTTTTGTCTCATGGTCATTACTGACTTTTTAGTAGTAAGAACCATTATCATAATAATTATACTTATTCCTTAATTATAGCCATTCCCTCACCTACTATGTCATTTATAAATCTCCCATACTGCCATTCTTTCTGAAATTAAATAAATGTTTTAAATAAAATTACAGTTTAGAAGTGTGGGGCTTTTGATATTAGTGATATGAATCCCAAGCCACATACAGAACCGATGAGACTGTTTAGGTGGTGAAGCCAGTTACAAACAATTATGATTTTAATTTATAGGGATCCTACTTTTACATTTTAAAAATTATAGTGAATCTACCAGCAAAGATACCAAAAGTATGGGAAAATGTCTGGATTAAAAATCAATACACCTGTGAGATTAGTTTTCAAAGCCCACCTACAAAAGAGAATTTGAACAACAGAATGCTATTAAGTAGTGATCTGACTTTCCCAAGTTCAGTGTTTCCCCGGTGACTTGGCAGTGACTTCGATGTCAGAGATGTGATATGGTGAGTTGACACTGATGCACTAATATGACCCTGGAGTCTTCAATTAAGGAGAGAAACACTATTAAAAAATCTAGTCCATAAAAATCACCTTATCATTAACCTAAACTTTTAATGGGTTTAGGTTAGAAATAACACAAAATAACATTTTCCTAAAAGTTCTCTCTTGTTTACAATGAGAACGATGATGGAAAGTTTTTAACAGGATTCACTTACCAGGAAAATGAACAGCACCACAGCTGCTCCGAAGAAGGGCCAGTTCATCGCTGCTGGGTTCTCTTACATCCAAGATCAAGGGAGTTTTGTTTTTGCTTCTCGGTTCTTTCTCTTCCCCCCACTCAGCTGGTGTCTGCTTAAAAATAATTTCTCAGTAGATGTTCTTACATGCAGGCTTTGAGGTGTTTCTGCCTTCTCTGGGAGCAGGTCTGAAGGTACGTATAACCTGTTTAGATCCCCACCCTAAAAACTTGGGCTGGTCTCCCTGAAATGCTTAACAGGATCATCATTGCTCGCAGGTAAAAACTTAGGGACACACCCTCTTCCAGCTGAAAGGCAGCTTTCTGTGGGACATAGAAGATTCACTCCTTTATTGAAGGTTTCCAGTGGCAGGCGTTTAGAATGATCAGAAGTGTGGAGAACTGTACAATGGATGGGGGTTTTTCACCCTAGGCTCTATTTACAGGTTGTTCAGCTTCTTCCCATATTGAAAAGGGAAGTGGAGTCTGAATGTTTATACTATTCAAAGAGGATTATGTGACCCATGTTCATTGCCAGACCTTCAGGTCACAGTAGAACATTATAAACTTTCCATTTCAGTGGACGTTAGGAAACAGTCATTTTCTGAATTATTTTTAAGAGACAGAAACTCTGCTAATGTTAGGAATGAGGATTTTTTTTTTAAGCATTCTTTCAAACAAACAAAACGTATATACTTACAATTTTAAGGTTCCTGGAATAAATCACATTTCCCTCTAAGTGATCAGCCAAAGTCCAGGGACGTCTCTATTGTCTCTCTAAATGAATGTCTTCTTTCCCCAATTATTTCTCTCTCTTTAAGGTTCTGTCCTTTTCAAATGGAGTAAAATAAAATGTAAAATATCACTAGGGAAGATTAAACATAAACAATAAAAACCACCAATTAAAATCTCAGTGATAATTTAAAAAGTGAGGGTCAGAGCCTGAAATACTAGTAGAAACACAGAAAGCTGTTCTTCAGGTGAGGTGGGTTAAAAGTCAGTGATGATTCCCAAGCGCAGAGCCAAGAATCTGTATAGTGAGCCAATTAGAGCACAGGGAATACACTGGAGAAAAAGCTGCCCACACATGCAAGTAGGAAACTGAATGGAGCCCTGAAGTCTGTGAAAATAAATAGTGAACTGTCACAGGAAAGACTTCAGTGTTCTAAGGGTAATCTCCTCTTCACCTGGCAATGTCTAGTATGAATATTGTGAGTGGCAGGAAGTCTATGGAGCTAGAAGTAGCTGTCTGGAGCAAGAGATCTATCTGGTAAGATGCTGATTATGGTCAAAAAGATGTTAAAAATTATCCCAGAAAGGAAGAGTATCTCTGAGGGTCAGAGGTTCTCCAGAATGCTGTCATTTCATTACAGGTGTGTGGCTAAAAAGGTTGCTCCTCAATTGGTTTGGAAATATCATGCTGTTCGTCATGGAGCTTAGAAGAAGATAGGCTGCCTATATTTACTTGCATAAATGGTGAAAAAAAAAGTGAATAAGAATACTTATGATAGGAATTGGTTGATGTGAATAATTGGATCAACTTTTTCATTAGTCAAGTAGGATATAATGTAACTATCGACCCATGACTTAGTCTGAGCAATGTATTAGTAGTAGGAAAGTCTGACCACAAATGTCTGAAGACTTACTGGGCATGGGAGATGGAAGGATCTACATTTACAAGCCTCCCAGTGGCAAGTGAATGTTCTTTCCACCTTGAATTCTGGGCATGGTGCTAGGATGTACACTGGTCCTCTTCATCCATGGAATGACTCTTCCCCACACCCAACCCTGGCTCCACCCCTAACTCAGTGACTTGCTCCACAATCCTGACCAACTGGAGCATCTGTAAGGCAGCAGTGTCTCCAGGAGCCTTCTGGAGAGGAGGTGTGGGAGAACCTGGATGTTGCAGAGCAATGATTGTCTTAATTGTCACATGAGAGCTAGTGACATTAGGTAACAAGTGGAGAAGGGAGGTTATGAATCACCATTCCTCCTCCTTCATCTCCTTCTCTACCTCTTTTTCCCTACTCATCTTAATGTCCTTAAAGCAGTGTTGTTCAATAGACAACTTCCTGAAATGTGGAAATGTTCTCTATCTGGGAGAACACTTGAATCGATTGTGGATCTGTGGATCCATTATGCTAGCCACTAACCATATGTGGCTATTGAGCAATTGAAACAACTCAGAAACTAAATTTTTAACTTTAAATTTAAATAACTGCACGAGGCCATTTTTTCTTGTTTAGTTGCTAAATTGTGTCTGACTTTTTTGCGACCCCATGGACTGTAGCCTGCCAGGCTTCTCTGTCCATGGGATTTCCCAGGCAAGAATATTGGAGTGGGTTGCCATTGCCTTTGCCAAGGGATCTTCGCAACCCAAGGATCAAACCCACGTCTCCTATACTGGCAGGTGAATTTTTTACCACTGAGCCACCAGAGAAATGCTGCCACATACAGCCAGTGGTTACCATATTACCCCAGTGCAAAGATAGAGCATCATTGTTTTTATTATCTTCTATCTTATCCTAAGCCTAATTCCTTTTTTTTTTTTTTAATCAATTCAGCTCTTTCTAATGAAATCTACCCTATACTTTTTCTCAGTTGAGGGAACTCTAGCTTTCTGCTTTTCCATTCAGCACATTTGATTATTCTCCTATTATCTCAGTTGCCAAGTCTCTTATATTTGACTCCTTGCTGATCAAATTTCCTAATGCCAATGAGCTAGGAAATTAAAACAGAGGCAACAGCACACAACTCTCATTTCTGTGGTCATGTTTCCCCAAGCATTTCTTCCAGTCCCCTTATCTGTAACTCTCACCCCTTTAAGACGTAACTGTGCTGTACAAGGTTGCTTAATCTTCCTGGTCTCGTTACATTCTGATTATACTATGAACAATGTTCAGTATGTGCACTTCCACTTACATCCCAGCAGTTCTTACTTCACGGGAATTTAATGAAACCTGGGGCTATTTTTCTGTTTTGTTTTTTTCCTGGTGTTTTGTGGTAAAATGGGCAAAGTTTCTCACAAGGATCAAAATTCTTGGGGGAAAGGATTTTGCTCTTTTCTAAGGCATTGCACACCCTAGAATGTCATCCCAAGTGTCTACATTTCTTTATGTTTTTTTCACAGGTTGAGATATTGTAACACTCTCCTGAAAGACAAAGTGATCAGCATCTTCCACAGAAGCTGATGGATTCTACTGATCTAGAATTTCTTAAGCCTTATTTAAGTGACTGTTCTATCCCCCCTTATTTACATGGTGGAGTTGTACATTCCAGAGAAACCCTTTGGAATATGTTTTTATGTTATATGTAAGCCTCTCGTGCCATATATATCTAAATTACATTAATGAGCTCTAGAAATTGTTTTAAAAAACAGGTGAAAGATATTTTTAAAAATCTTAAAAATGGAGAAGAAATTGAGAGAAATGCTAAGGATAATAGAAACAAAATCTTTTGTGTTTGCCTCTATGCTAGTGTTCCTATGAGAGGCATTGAGTCTAGATCTTGCTCAAGTTGTTTAAAATCAGACTATTCCTCAATGAGTCACATAAAAAGTCTGGGGGATGGAGGCAACATTTGGTTAAATGAGACTTTTCTTTTTGTGTATAACAGTCAAATGCAATGCCTGATCCTTAACTGGATTCCTGATACGAACAAAACAACTCTAGAAATAACTTTGGGGATATTTGGAAAAATTTAAAAATAGGCTATTAAGGAATTATAAATTTTATTAGTCATGTATATCTTAATAATTTGTTATATTGGTTAATTTATAGTTATGATTGTATTTTGTAATTATATAAATTTATACAATTGATTATGTAATTGATACCAATTAGCTAATTATAATTGTATTTATATGTATTAATATATTTATTGCTGTATCTGTTTTTTATTAAATTTATTTAGTTTTAACTGGAGGATAATTGCTTTACAATATTGTGCTGGTTTCTGCCATACAACATGAATCAGCCATGGCAGCAGCCTAGATGCCCATCGACAAATGAATGGGTAAAGAAGTTGTGGTATCTATGTGCAATGGAGTATTACTCAGTCATAGAAAGAACATATCTGAGTCAGTTATAATGAAGTGGATGAACCTAAAACCTATTATACACAGTGAAGTAAGTCAGAAAAACAAATATTATATATGAATGCATATATGTGGAATTTAGAAAGATGGTACTGATGAACCTATTTGCAGGGCGGCAGTGGAAACACAGACATTGTGGACACAGCTGGGGAAGGAGAGGATGGGGTGAATTGGGAGAGCAGCACTGAAAGGTATGTCTTTCTTGTTAAAGATGCATGCTGAATTAAGTAGGGACAAAATCTCATGATGACAGAAATTTTCTTCATGGTAATTCAGCAATAAAATGGATGAAGTGAATATGGCAAAATGTGAACTGTTAAATCTAAGTGATGGCTTATGGTTTTCTCTGTTTTCTGTATAGTTGAGAATTTTTGTAATAAAATTAAAAATAACGATGGGTAGGTGTTGGCAAATTATAGCCATGGGCCAAATCTGGCTCACTATCTTGTTATTTTATTGGGACACAACTGTTTTCATTGGTTTACATATTGTCTATGGCTATGTTCCCTCTAGAACAGCAGAGCTGAGTGGTTATGACAAGAGAGCGTGTAGCCTGCAAAGCCTAAAATAATTGCTTTTCTGGCCCTTTACAGAAAAAGCTTGCTGACTCCTGCACCAGATGGATAGATTGTATTTTGTAATACAAAATATGATTCATTAATACATTAGTTGATTTTAGGACAATTCAGAAGATTGATCTGGAGATTATGAACAGAAATCAGGAAGACTGAAAATAACCACCAAAATTAAAGCAATTAATCATTGAGGAAAAGATACATCTTTATAATCAATTATAGTTTTAGCTTTATATTTTCAGAAAGACTTTTTAAATTCATCAAAATATTCTACAGTCTAACCCTTCTTCCTTTCCTTTAAATCAGATATAAGGAGACTTCATTTTTCTCTAGGCAGTTCTAGAGTGAGAGTCCAATATCATCACATCTTTATGTGGTTTTTTCTATATGGAAAGATTATTCATTAGCAGGGGAATCCTATGTGACTCTGAAAACACTGGATCCTACTGAAATATCTTACAATAAGAGTGGTGAAGAGATTGCTATTGTCAATTCTTTTTTTAAATTAAAGTAAATTAAAAAA